GTCAGAGTGGATGCAAGATGCAAGGGTAGCAAAAAATGTCCGAGATTCCGTCCGCGGTGTCATGCACGGTGTCAAATCTTATCTCCGTCGGGGTCCAGGCTGATCACGTGGGTGGGAAGCCCCGGGTAATCGAATTTCAACTGCCGGAGGGAATCGGGCAATGAGATCCCGCGGGAACAACTTTCCATCTCGTGCACGACTCTTAATTCAACTCTTTGGATAGGAATGCCGAATATCAAGTTAATATCCCATCTGGGACTTTGATACTCCTTGGGAGCTCTCACTACCGTACTCTATTCACAGAATTTGTGAGCTCATCAGTCATTGTCTTTCAAGTTAACCAATATTCACCATGGCGACCAATACAGTGGCTGAGCTGCGCTCTACGGCGCCTGTACCGAAGGCACAACCGCAAATAGCCAAGAAGAAAGTCATTTCCCCAGGTATCTCGCTAACTGCTGGTGCCGTAGCTGGTGCAGTGGAAGCAACCGTCACTGTGCGTTCTACCCTTTCTCACGCTGTCTCGCTCGCGCTGCTAAAGGTCGACCCGTGTCACAGTACCCCTTTGAGTTTGCTAAAACACGAGTTCAATTAAGCCAAAAAGCCGCCAGTGGTATTTCCACTCCGGCTTCTAGGCATCCTCTGGCAGTGATATTGCAAACGGCGCGCCATGATGGTGTTCGAGGCATCTACACCGGTTGCTCGACCCTAATTCTCGGGACTGCCTTCAAGGCTGGCGTGCGCTTCTTGTCGTTTGACACTATCAAGAACCTCTTGGCGGACGCAGATGGAACGCTGTCCCCAGCACGAGGCATTCTGGCTGGCATGGTCGCGGGTACAGTGGAGAGTGTAGTCGCAGTGACTCCCACAGAAAGGATCAAGACTGCTCTGTGAGTTTGTCTTCCATCATTCGTCCTCACATGCTCATAGATTCCGTATACAAATATAGTATTGATGACGCACGATCATCAACTACACGTCGTTACAAGGGCGGATTTCATGCCCTCCGCACTATCGTAGCCGAGTCGGGCGTCAGCGAGGTCTACCGTGGCTTACTCTCTACGACAATGAAGCAGTCAGCTACGTCTGCTGTACGCATGGGCTCGTACAACGTCATAAAGGAGATCGTCTCATCGCGCACTAGCATCAAAGACACAAAGAACCCCGCACTGACATTTGGAATGGGAGCCACGGCCGGTATCGTAACAGTCTACATGACCCAGCCCTTCGACACCATCAAGACACGTGCTCAAGGAGCCAAGGGGGCATCAACTATGGAAGCGGTGCGAGATGTTCTAAAAGATGGTGGGGTGCGAGCGTTCTGGAGAGGAAGCTCTATGCGACTAGGCAGGCTGATTCTCAGCGGTGGGATAGTGTTTACGGTCTATGAGAATGTTGCCGCGCTTCTGATGGGCTCAAGGACAGGATGAGTGATTTGAGACACAATTTTAACTTTGTTTGTATGGTATAGAATTAGCAATTTAAGCATGTCACACAAGGAGCGCCCATCGCAATCCATCTACCGTCCGCGGATGCTACGAGGCGTACAGTGTAAACACGAAGAGTTTCCCGAAATGTACGCCATGGCCCCTCGCTAAAAGTCTTGGATGCTCCCAACTGGACGAAGGATCTTTCATCGCGTCTTGGTATAGCAAACTTTGTATACTCTTTTCTCCCGCGGGATTCACAACAGCAACTATGCGGGGCCCCGCAAACCCCAGATTTGAGCATGTCACATCATGCCTAGACAAAGCATCACCACGACATATATAAGAACTTGGCCCTGAATACACACAAAGACTTCTTTCTCAGAACCTCATTCTACTCTCCAATTGTCACTCCTAGACAAGCTTAACCTGATCTCGACCATGCCCCCCTCGCCGTCAACCTGCTCCTCTGACTCAGAGGCTGGAGAGCAAGGTACTCCCAATACAGACATCAAGACAATGGAAAAGCATATCGAAGATGTCTCAGAGTCCAAGGCCCAGCAACCTGCTGAGGGAGCCTACATCCCGTCAGAAGAAATTCAGGCGCGATTTGAGCTTTTGCGCTATCTGAGCCCGGAGCAGATGGACACACTCAATAAGCGTGTCCTCAAGAAGATCGACTGGCACATGATGCCTTGTGTCACACTCATGTTCTTAATGAAGTAAGATTCTCTAGCAGATAGAAACAGGGTAAGGGACTAATCCTCTGTTAGTTATCTTGACCGCATCAATGTTTCCAATGCCCGTCTTGCTGGGCTCCAGAGCGACTTGAATATGAGCGATACCGTTTGGAATGCAGGCATCTCGACCTTTTATGTCGGCTACCTCGTCGGCCAGCTTCCTGGAAACCTACTCATGGCTAAATCAAACCCACGTTGGTTTCTGCCAGTCATAATGCTCATGTGGAGTTGTGGAACCATTTGTATGCCTGCCATGACCAAGTGAGTTTTCATCAACAGTTCGTTGTAAGCCACGAAAGCGAGCTAACAGTGCTCCAGCGGTGTGGGTTTTTGCGTCGTTCGTTTCTTTATTGGCCTGACCGAGGCACCCTTTTTCCCTGCTCTCACCCTACGTAAGAAAACACAGCCTTCTCTCCACCATACAGATTCTAACGCTAACAGCACAGTGACTTCTTCTTGGTACACGAAAGAAGAGTCTCCTATGCGCATGGCTATCTGGCATGCTGGCAATACTATCTCCAACATCATTTCAGGGTTCCTAGCAGCGGGGATTCTCGAGAATATGGATGGTATTAGCGGTCTGCACGCATGGCAATGGTTCTTCCTGATTGAAGGGATAGCATCTATCGCTGTTGCAGTCGCTTCATTTATCTTCTTACCTGCTTGGCCGCATAACACTCGATTCCTGTCTGAAGAGGAGAGTCAGATGGCACAATACCGTGTGCTCGTGTCCAATGGTGGACGTGATGAGACCGTTGGAGGAACGTGGGATGGGGTCAAGGACGCCGTGAAGGACCCCTTTACGTGGTTCTTTTGCCTCATGCACTTCGCACTAGTTACTGCGCAGAGCTTCAAGGACTTTTTGCCGTCGGTGAGTCTGCTTCCCCTTTACCTCACAATATATACATCTCAATGGCAATGTCATTCGGAGGCCTATGTCTGACCAGCTATCTTAGATCATAAAAACATTCGGCTTCGACACCATGACCACATACCTTGTCCAAGCGCCACCATATGCTATTGCCTACGCCTTCGCCTGTGCTGCGGCCTGGTCCTGTGGCAGACTCCAAGAGTCAACCTGGCATATAGTCATTCCCATAATCATCTCAGCCGCAGGATGCAGTATTCTCATCAGCACCCTTAACGTTGGCGCGCGGTACTTCGGGATCATCCTCCTCATTTGCGGCACTTACAGTGGACTCAACCTGCAGCTGTCTTGGGAGACGACGGTGGTTCCATCGCCGAGAGCGAAGAAGGCTGCACTCATTGCTATTGCCAACTGCATCAGCCAGTCGAGCCATTGGTTTAGCCCCTACTTTTATCCAACCAGCCAAGAGCCATATTACCGTATGGGTGGCGGCCTGGTGCTCATGGGTTGTGCACTGGTAGCGGTGTCAGCTTTCGCTGTGAACTGGAGAGGTAGACGGCTTAATAAGAAGTTGGACGAAGCTGAGGGGTGGACGATGCACTCGGGCAGCGAGAGAGGTTGGCGGTACAAATTATAAGCCGCCATCGTGCATTATCGTGGCAAAGAAGCGATCGTCATACTATAGCATGAGCCATCCTTCGACTGGGAGGCAAGCGGCTAGCATTCAACACCAATGCGATAGCCTTTTACCACGGCCCTTGGCATTGCGCACGTTGAAGGCGCGACCGTATTAGGCTGTATCGACAGGAAAATATCCATTCATAATGGTTGGTTTTTGTTCCGTTCCATGTGCCTGCGTGACAGAGCATAGGGCCTTATATTTTTTGAGAATGAGATGAGCTGCATTACAAGATCGGAAGGATCAACATAACTTACTAAAATATATATATATAATAGCCACAACATGCTTGGACAACATCATCCAAAAGAACAAACATCTGCACGCTATGGCAGAGCGATAAAACAAACGCACACGGTACTATATCTGACCTAACACCGGAAGGTAACCCTAGGCGTCTTCCTAATGGTCAAGTTAGCTGGTTTGTTCGTACCATTCCTCATACTTTGTATTTTTCAATCGGATAGCCTCAATCGGTTGGTTTCAAGCTCATAAACCACCACCAAATGTCAACGCAAGGGCTTTCTCACAAGGGTCATTTTTCTGTGCTCACCTCTGTGCCTGTGGCTTGATGCAATCCATCCTCTGCTAGGTGAGACAGAGGGAAGCGAGAACCCCAGTTAGTGGCCTGGTGAATAGCCCAGGCTTATGAACACCACATTTCACCCAGCCATACAGCCATATACACCGTCGCAATGCCAGAATAGCAAGATTGACAAATTGGCTGACCTGGTTCTCTTCACGACTTTCAGGGCCTATGCAACTGTTCAAAGAAGCACCGCCATTCAGGCACGAAGATGACGAGAAAGCTGAGATAGGTGATCGTAGGCGAGTGTCTCGGATGGAGAGATCCTTCTTTCCTTGCCATTCAGGCAATGGCTTGGGCCTGTAGGTACTCAAGCATCGTCAAGGCTGCGCTAACTATTCGATAAGCCCAATCAGCACGTGGAGCGGGGCAGGGCAGAACATCTTTTGACAGGTTGCCAATATTGAACCTCTTTCTGGTTGACTTTCGACTAGGTTATTGTGCCCACTACTGCCCCACAAGATATCGCCACTGGGAGTTGTGCTACGGTGTATTTGCCGACGGGAGTGTTATGCCCGCGGGATCTCAAGGGCTAATTGTCTCCCGCGGATTTCGACTATGGTCCCATTCCCCAGTTCCCCAGTTAGACTAGTTTCCTTGCCCCAGAGTTTTCTTGCATATGCGGGGGACCGGATATAAATGTCTATCCTGGACATGTTCTATGTCGTGTTAAAGTCCGGGGAACTGCAGGAGATACACAATGTTTCAAGGGCAAGCGTTACGTCTAGCGCAGGTGCTTCTCATCGTCGCGCCAGCATTTATCACCTACGGTTACAATCAAGCGGGAGTCGGGCCGCTCGCCACACTCCAAACATGGTATGAATGTTCCATGTTCTGTCCACATCTGAACGATAAGCTGACATGCCTACTGGGTCCACACGTTCCCTGAAATCGACACAATCAACACACATGGTGCCGTCAAGGAAGAAAAGTCGACGAGGAAAGGCGCAGTCATTGCCTCCCTCCAACTGGGAGCGCTCCTGGGGGCTCTCTCATGCACGTATCTCGGGGACCGTCTTGGCCGGCGCAAGACTCTTTTCCTCGCTGCTGCTCTCGTCGTGATAGGCGAGCTGTTGGAAACCTCGGCCTACGACATCGCCCAGTTTACCGTTGGGCGGGTTGTACTAGGCATTGGGGTCGGGCAACTTAGTGCCACTGTCCCAGTCTTCCAGGCGGAGTGTAGCTCGGCAAAGAACCGTGGGCAGCATGTGGTTGTTGATGGCATCTGCATGGTCCTGGGTTTTGTTCTTTGCAATTGGATTGATTTCGGACTTAGCAAGACAACAGGTCAAACGCAGTTCCGCGTCCCTCTTGCTATTTCCTTCTTATTCCCTCTGATTGTTCTCGCCTCTGTGTTCTTTCTCCCGGAGTCCCCCCGCTGGCTGGTCTTGGTAGGCCGCTCAGGTGACGCCGCGCGCAGTTTAGCAGCCTACAGGGGACTCTCGGTAGAAGATGAAGCCATCCAGGCCGAAATTGCGAGTATCGAATCCGCGCTAGAGCTTACGGAGCGATCCAACCGTATCACATTACGCGAAGTGTTCTCCCGAAGCGACGAAGACCGTCTCTTCTACCGCTTCACTTTGTGCATGGTTATCCAGTTCTTTCAGCAAATGTGCGGCGGCAACCTGATCTCAACCTATATCTCAACAATCTTCGAACAGAACCTGAAACTCGGCAGTGACCTGTCTCGGATCCTAGCTGCCAGCGCATTGACATGGAAATGTCTATGCAATTTTATCCCCTTTTTTGCCATCGATCGCCTAGGCCGTCGGAAGGTCTTTATATTCAGCGGCACAGGAATGTGCATCTGCATGACCGTATTGGCAATTACAACCAGCTTCGACACTAGCAACAAGACCGCGTCAGTTCTTTCCGTGGTTTTCATCTGGTTGTTTAACCTATTCTACCCAATCGGGTTTTCGGGCGCAAACTTCCTCTATTGCACAGAGGTCGCCCCTATCCAATTACGAGTCGCCATGTCTTCCATATCCACGGCGAACAAGTGGCTATGGAACTTTATTGTGGTAATGATCACCCCCGTTGCGCTTGACACTATTGGATATCGGTATTATATCGTCTACGCGGCTATTTCGGCTTGCATTCCCGTCTCCGTGTATTTCTTCTACCCTGAAACGATGGGCCGCAATCTCGAGGCCTTGAATCAGGTATTTCGTGATGCTCCCTCGATGTGGGATGTTGTATCCATGGCGAAGGACCTTCCCAAGGGGGATGTGGCTGCGTTGGATGTAGATGAGGTCGACAAGAAGAAGCTGGATACAGAGCAAAAGGAGTACGCATGATCATGATAAGCTTTTCTTTTTCCTTTTGTATATATTCCCTGCTCTTTGTGTGAAAAGGTATTCAGGGAAGCTCAGATTATGATGGAATGAATGGGTGGGGTCCTCAGCTTCAATCCAGCACCGCGAGGAATACTGTAGATAAAAGGCCCAGGCTTTCCACGAGCTCGAAATATCTCGCAATTTGAACATTGAAATGCAGTATAATATAGCTGTTTGCCTTTAAGAGCTAATGCGTAGGACTTTTGATTCATAATACCCAGGGAGAAAGCTTTCTCAACATCTTTCACTCATAACAATATTGTCATATTGAATTAACGTTCGACCTTAAAGTCGCGAGGATATACAATCTTGTCGTCGAAGCGAATATATGTTTACCCAGATAGGAAATGCATTATTAACGCAAGTTTATCCCCGAAGGAAAAGGTTGATATATATTTATTAGTTAACAGGAAAGAGAGACTAGGGTCAGGACAGAACAAGATCTGGAAAGTAACAAGACGAGGTTGGGACAGTGCCCAAGGCAGGATGAATGAAAAGAGTAATAATAACGGGGAGAAGAGAGAAGAACAGTGGTCTTTAGGTACTTGACAGGAACCTAGCAATGGTACCAGTGTACTAGATGACCACCCAATAGTATAGTATGAACTTTTGCGTATACTCCCTAGAGACCGATAGTTGTTGTGAAGGCTGACGGGGTAGGGACGCCGCTAGGAACAGTTTCTAGTGGTCCTAGCTTCGTGATATAGTAGTTTTCGTTGGTCTCCCCGCCCTCATCTCCGTAGAAACTAGTTTCTTGAACAGTATCTGTATAGTCGCTGGTTGTGTTGATTCCAAATGCCATCCATGCCACTAGTCCATCTTCGAGGGAGTCTCCTACATAGACATAGTTGGCCACGGGATCCATGGAAGATGATTCATCGTAAAGATACCATCTTCTTGATTTGTAACCATAACGTTGGTGTTTTGGGTATGTGGATAAATTGTGTCAGCGAGGTCAATAAGAGTCTGGTCAAAGAACACCTGGCCAACATGTGCGATGCTACCAGTTCTATGCCCAAGCGTACCATTCGGTAGCACGTGTGGGTTCTCATGAACGATAACATGAATATGGGTTGCACGGAGGGCATAGTGGCCAGGGAATTTGGTCTCGAATCTGGCAACGCCAAAGGCATCGGTCTTTTGGATCTCCCGGAAGAACGTTGTGTTGACGTTGGCTGTGTCGTCAGCGTTTCCGCTCGCTGGAAGATCGAGCTTTGGGTTTCTGGCAATTCCTGAGTATATACCAGTACTATTGCAGTGCCAGATATCGACGAAGGCGTTTTGAACTGGCTGGCATGTGTTGACGTCGATAAGTTGGAGCTCCAAGTATAAGGAAATCCCTAGCTGTGTCTCGGAGATATTCTGCCGAATATGCTCACCAGACACGTCTCCATAAGTTAAATGTTAGTCCCGAATTCCATTAACATACAGGATAGGTAAAATACGAACAGTAAGGGCCGGAAGTGGCCTCCTTATCCAGAACGCAAATCTCATCGTAAGGCGAGAACAAGAAGGTGCTCGTCAGTATCTCTATTGAATCCGGTGTATGTGACATTGTGGATAGTGGCTAGCGAGTCATAGAAACTTCGAGGTACGATGAGACGTTCTAATCTATGTCAGCTTTCACATAAGCATATGCCAGCTTAGGGCCTCCTACTGTCAATGCCAATGCTGCGGGTTTTCCTCTCTTCCATGATCAACTCCTTTCGACCACGGGCTAAATGCTGGCTCATTTCCCTTTTCCTACTGAAATTGCAGTGACCCAAACTTCGACTAGTCAGGGTGTTAGAGTGCGCTAAGGTGAGAGTCCCATGAAGGGCAAGTGATATAACGAAGAACCACTTAAAGTTTATCATGGCGACGAATTTCAAATTGAATATTGGTATCAGGAAATTGGGATGCAATGCGCTATGTCTAGTAATTTCGACTGGATTTATCATGATGTTGGTTGGTGTATGGGCTTTTTATATTTGGCGTTCACCCGAGTGAGACACAGAGGCCCCATTGTACACGCAAGTACATGTCTCACTACCTATCTCAGTCACCTGGTCAGGTCCATACCCTTCTCATAGATACTGAAGCATAGGTTGTCTCTATAGTTTGTGACTAAGCGGAACGCGTTAGTTACTAAGCGGAAGGTATTTCTCAGGCGGTCTTAGGGCTAGATCCTTCGCAGATCCTGATAGATATGGCAGAGATCATCGCACTAGCAAGATAAGATTCTGGTTCTAGCAAGACCATGGGTCGCTATTTTTGCATTTATGATCGTTCCATTGTCACATTGATAACGAGAGAGTACGGAAAACCCGGCTGTTTGGGGGCAGGTCGTTTGCTGTGAACGGCTACAATGTCTAAAGCAAGTCTTTGCTCTGGTACATTAGCAAATAATGATAATTTGGACGTGCAACTGTATTTTATTGCTTTCTAAGATCGTAAGGACCGTAGGTCTAATTAGGATAGCCGGGGACATCAGTATCCAGGATTCAAGTAGCATGGCGTGGATTTCACTCCACTAATTAAGCTTTTTCCTACTGCATTTTGATTTAGAGGCCATCATACCAACAAGGTATTGACGCGTTTCAGTAAGTATGACACACTTTCATAGAGTATGAGACATGCAGGGATAAGTCCTTCTGCTTCCAATATTTACATTGGTAATAATGATCGACAGCCATCTTCCCCGACTATTTTTGTCTACTTTAACCATTGAGTATCGTACAGCTCCACAGGGCGGTCTGTTATTGGCCAAGGCCACAAGTCCGTAAAAACACACCCTTCAACCTTCAACTACGCGGACTATTATTATGCATATGGGGATTTAAGCGAGACATTATCGAGCCCGGATTCACCCCTTAGATCCTTGTGGAGCTTGGTATTTTGTTAAAGCTGTTTAGGATATTAGCCGTGCTGGTGTAGTATCGAATAATTTATTAGGTAGTTCACAGTGCCGCTGGGAACTAACACCTACTTCTGTGTCCTAGTCGTTTCAGAACACAAATGTGTTATATCAATGACGTAAAGTATCCGTGAAATTCTCATGGTCTCAAGAAATTACTAGGGCATATCGCTGCTTTCAACCTCATAAATAGGGTCAGTCTAATGGGCACAACCTTTAGCTAGTAATGGAGTGTTTTATTATTAAATGCTTTACAGTGAGTAGTAGCGTAATGTCCTGACAGGGCAAATTCACTATAATGTGTACAGACGACAAAAAGGCGATATAGTAGCAGCCTATATGTGCCTTGCCCTTATTAATTCTGCTGCTATGGGGGGGTTTCATAAGGCTTTATGGTCATTATAGACGGTTACCGAGACAAATTAAAGAAACATATGATAGGCGAACGAAACACGGTTGGTTACATCACCTACTCCTATATTTATTTCACTGGCATAACTCGCAGTTTATTCCTTGTGCAAGAGCATGACCATCAGATACTCCCATGCTATACCCGGTCTTTTCTGGCTTAGAGTTAGGCCAGGTCCCTTTTAAATTTAACTAGGAGAGCAAGAAGATGTAACCATAGCAACCCATGTAAGCGCTGCGAGATGAAGTTGCTAATCATATAGACAGTGAGCCACTACTGTCGAGTAACTACATCAATATTCAATCAAAGCTGTGCCTACAGGTCCTTATTTTAGACTCGTATATCCAGAAGAGCGCTAGCCAATATCAGAGAAGGCTACAACCTGTTATTTCATATCGTCGCATGTCACTTCAATGTTGCTTTTTATATAGTCAGTGTTCTCTACTCGTTGTGCGGCCCTGTGTATAATATCACTTCTCTTTTTAATTTGCTTAGTTCCTGCACCGCATGTATAAGAATAGTGTATTTGGTAGTGTAATTGTGAGGTTGGCCTTAAAATTACTGTCATTTTATTATAATCATGACTCAATGTGTATTGGTAGATTTCCTGTCGCTTGAAAATAATTCCGTTTGCTGACTCGTGGAGCCTTGTTAAAACTATTGTTATGAAACATCTCACCATAGCTTTATTCAAGAGTACGTCAGTTTGAACTCACAACCCTTGTCAGTGTTAAAGATAGCATTCCATATCAAATGAAAAGGTTATGGTTGTGTCTAAAGCAAAAATAGAGTCTCAATTCCGGTTTCTTTGGTTTAGATGGTTGTCGGCTGCATAGCCACCTAAACGTGGCGCAGAAACTTTAGGGCTCCTTAGTGGAGTAGGGGACCGAAGGGTATGGACCTAGTCCTTCAAGGCGACGGATTGGCTATTTTGCTATTAATATCTTATCACCGTCGCTCTCATCTAGTTTAATAGATCGACATACTATAGCCCAGTTGACGCCAACAGGATTACCTGATTTTATATCTCCGATAACGTTAAAATGTATATAAATCCTTCCAGGTTCTGCTGTAGAATGTTGACATTCAAGCTTTACGATACATCATTCAACGATTGAGATCATTTTGTTGAGCTTGGCTTGATTCAAATTTTATGATACTATGGAGACCTCATTGGTTGACAACCGGCGAACCCTGATGCATCGAGTGGTAAGAGGGTTTCCCTGATTCTCCATGGATCTTGAGTGCTGCTAACAACATTGAGCAGTGCGACACCTGTCATGCCCGAAAGGTATGAACTAGTTATTTATGGCCTGTCCCAATGTGTGTTGCATTTTTGGCTGATTCGTTCCAGGTCAGATGTGATCGACAGAACCCTTGCGGAAATTGTCAGGATCAGAACACTTTATGCACACGTCACCGGAGTATGGCACGTGCTGAGAGAAGGGCCCCTCGACCGACGAAAAGAGCAAGCAGTGCAAATCGATCCTTTAAAGCATCTCCCCCTCAGTCTTGGTCGAAACTAGGCTCATCTCATGGTCCTGTCGACCAGTCAACTCAAGTTTTGTTATCATGCACTTTGGATGCCGACAGCTTACTGATCGAGACACACGAGGCAACTCCATGCTCAAACGCAATAGAGGACTGTTCTTATTCAGGCTCAGTTCTCGATATGGTCCCTAGTATGAGCGGATCCAATGTTTCGGAAGATCAACAAGGGCTCTTCGCGCAGCTTACAGAGCCTAGAGAAACGACAATACAGGACTGGCTACTCCAGGAGGATGGCCTGCAGGTCCTTCATAACTTATATCCATCCTTGAACCAAGAGCTTCAGCGGCCCAACCCGGTGGATGGTCCTAATGGTGTGCAGATCCTTGGGCCATGTTCAGCACCTGAGCTGCACGATTGTGGGGGGGCCTTTATATCAGACAATAATTATCTGCAAGTACATAATTACTTTGCTGGTACGTGTTTCAAAATGCAATGTACATGCTAAATTCTGATTCAATGATAAGACACAACAAGCTCCGGTATGGATGATATCATTTTGGATCATTTCAAATCGCTCGCAGCTACTACAGAACTCGAACAGGCCGCTGAGGCACCCCATAAGCAAGCTGCGGCAAACCAGACTTCCAATGACCAACTACTTAACTCCGATCAACATACCAAGCCTAACTGTTCTTTCATACCAGACCAGAACCAAATGATTACACTTGCTGCGAGTAACAGTTTGCAGGATATTCCCGACACAGATCATGGCTGTCACTGCTGGAAAGAGCTATAGTTTCAGGTCCCTGATAGACAAACCATTCATGGCCTTCGTTTGTTTAGTCTTAGCTAAAAATGAGTACCCTACCGATGACTTCGTGTCAAGGTCGGATTTCGTGAAATAAAAGTCGACTGGCAGTTAATCTTCCCATTAAAGGCATCCTTGAAGATCTTGATTCTTCATTAGTAGAGCTATCTACATATAAAAGCTAAGGAGGACACCAAGTCAGGCCAAACTATCAACAATATGCCTTCGACAATAATATGATCATACTGATGTGCTGGTCAGTTAAATTGGAGTAGCGCCACTACGGCTGCGGTTAAGTAACTACACTGACTGACGAAGACTCTAGAACCCGATTGCTATCACCTTGACCCGTGCCGTTGTTATTGAGGCTTAAATTCAATTTGGCACTCATGTTCCTACAAGGATAGTGAGCACATCAATCACTCATATATTCAGGGGGAACCTACTCGCATGTCACTGCAGGGTTCATCATAGAAGACCTCAAAACGACTTGTGATGCCAGGGGAGATCGTGTCAAATCCTCCTCTGGGCTCAGTTGTATATTTGCGATAGAGTGCCGCCAAAAATGTGGTCATCTCTGCCATGGCAAGACTACAAAGGTAAGTAATTGCCTATGGTATTTTTCATTGAAGGGGTTCTCACTGCATCCCAATGCACATCCTACCCCCGCTGGAGAAGGCCCAGAAAAATCTGTTCATTTGCGTGAGATCCTGAGAAGGGTCAAGCCAGCGGTCTGGATTGAACTTCAGTGGATCTTGGAAGACATCTGCGCTTCGGTGCAGGGTATATGGTGAGATTGAAACAACGGTACGGGCGGGGATCAGATAGCCGTCAATGGTGATTGCTTCCGGTGACGATCTTGGTTCAGATGCTGGCAGTGGTGCGTAGAGCCTGAGCGTTTCTTTGATAACTGCCTCCGTGTAGGACAACTTGTCAGCTACTTCCACTCGGGGAATCCCATCAGGGTTCAAATCATTTTCAGATAGACTCCGAACTTCGTGGATAAGTTTCTGTTGGAACCTCCAGTGTTCAGGGCGAGAAAGTGACCAGATGGTGAACATCAAAGTGTCGCTTGTGGTATCAATACCGCCATCGAGCTGGTCTGCGCATTCAGACGCAATGTCAAGGTCGTCCAAGCCGCCATCTTTCATAGTGCGATGATGTTTCCATAGCCTTGAAATAAGAGACGACTGTGCTTCCTTTTCAGCAATTGAGGCATCAGCAAATGCCTGGAAAGCCTTGGTTGCGTGGAGCTTGATACTTGTGTATGGGGTTGGCTTCTGCATTGGGTAAAATGGGCGAGCAATGCAACCGATGATCCCAGTCCGCGAGTATAGCCACGCTGTGAGTTTGGGATGGTGAACAGTAAACCATGACAATGTGCGACTACCGGTGGCGAGGATATCATGAAGAAGAGCACGGTCTTCCTCCACACCATCTAGACATGCTGTCTTCCCAAAATCACCGTAGAGGAATTTCGTGATGTTATCCAAGGAAAAGTAATGTAAGGTAGTAAAAATGTTATGAGATCGACCCTCTCTTTCCAAAAGTTCCATATACTTTCTGACCTTCGTTTCAATCATATGCGCGTTGGCTCCTTTCAGCATTGCAGATTTGGCATAGGCGTGAGCAAATAGTTTCTTCCGTTCGGCATGCTGCTTCACTGTATTGAATGAGAACATGTTCTTCCGCCCGTATATCGCGAACATATGGTAGAAGTCGGTCCTTTCGAAGCCGCTCCCTGCGCCATATATTGCGCGCAACGCAGAGAGGCTGTTGAAAGCCACTTCATTTGGACCGACGCGAACTACTGGACCGTATGTCTCATGAAGCGCGTGGATCTTGCGGGTGCGGGTGCCCTTGTAATCCTCGTACGCAAGTCTCCATTTGGTTAAGGCAAAGGACTTGGGCCCTGGGATTCGCGCCAGAGGACTCAAGAACAGTGTCCAACAGATGTAATACACGAGAAAGGCTACACTTCCTGTAGCGATTGCAGCGATAGTCATGGTCATTTCAATGCAGATGGCAGGAGGAAACTTGGGATTTCCTTGAATTGTACTTCCTAGTCAAGTGTTTTCCTTCCAGCTCCCTATCTGAAGAATGGGATACGGCGGTCAGCGGCGTTATTTCATATAGCCGGCATCTGGTTGGAGAACATCGATATCTTTGAAATGATATGGTGACGCACAGAGCAGCCGTAGGGGCGGTTAGAATCGGATGCATGCGGGGTGATAATTCAAACACGCCATATCATTTTAAAGATACTGATCTTCTCCAACTTAATCGTACTGCTGACCCCGCACTCCACGAGAGGAGACCTGCAAGTGGGTCCCCGATAACGGAACAATGGGAGTTGATAGTGCTTGAAGGACATGCCCAGTTAGTTGCTTAGGGTTGGACTTTGTCATGATGATGTGTAAACCGCTTCGTCAATGGATATAATCTCCTCTTCCCAGTTCAGCGCCTACACAATGATATCTTTATTCAAGTCAGACACAACCATTGGTACGGCGTGGAAGCTCTTTATGATGTCTTTCAGGAGAGACGCGTTCTCTTTTAGGGCTTTGTTGGTTTCTTTCCTCGCAGAACATACGGTTAACATACGTTAATGTTAATCGTGCCTTTCGTAACGACCACGGATGTTCGATCAATGGCTCCTGGTATCTCTAGTGCCCGGCAACAGGGCCAGTTGCTCTTTCCCGCCTAAAAAGGAATGGTTTACGCGCCACTAAATTGCACATCAGCATCCCGCATGCTCTCAGTGACCTCTAACCACGTCGCTCCAATGGCCAACGGAAGCAAGGTTCTTGACCGGATCATGCTGAAAGGCCTTAAACTTGAGAATGTTGATCAAGACAGTACTGAACAGTGGAGACCTGAAGCCGTGGCCTCGCACGTTGAAGTCCAAGCTGGAATTATATAGGAAGCCCATTATCTTTGCCAGAGATTGCGTCAAACTAGGGGCAAATACAACAGCCGGATGAAGGTCTCTCTCCACGGATAATGTGGCGGAATGTCGCGCGTAATCTTCACCTGCGGGAGTCCAAATATCGTCCGGATCAGGTTCCTTGATAGGCGGGTCAAGGAGGATTTTCCCATCCTCCTTGACCTATGCAAGCCCACGTCCATAGATGCTCAGCCTAATGTACAATAATCTCTGAGACTCCATAGCTATCTGGACCTGACAAGATCGGAACGGAATTCTGAGCATTGGCCATTTGCTAGGTTGACTTCGGCCGGTTCACGTAACGAACTGCAAAACCATCTTATATGAGTTTACACAGTCGTTAATATTGCCTTTGCTTCTTGTTCCGGTCTCAATTTTTCGACCGACCTATTAGCTCACCTTTTCTACCGACGCCTCCTTCACTCCTGTTCTTCCCCCTCCACATCATTACTTATTAGAAGGATAGCCTGCTTATTAAAGGCTGCAAGTAACCACCCATTTACGTAGACTAAGCTATAAGCAGCTATTTACCAACCTCCTGAGCTTGAATCGCCTGTTCTTCCATCCCAGCTACAGAAACTGCGTCCCGAGCATTGCAATAGACAGGCGACCACATCACTACCTCCGTGGCAAGTACACTCCTCACCGTATCATCTGTGGAAAGAGCCAAAGTCCGAGAAAATCCCATATTAAATCTTTCGTCGAGATGTAGATTGTGGTCGCCTTCGGGGTTCGGACGACGTTCATGCTTCGCCACTGTAGCGGATCTCGGTGGTCGGGGCTTGGCTCCAGCCCTAGATTGGAATAAATACATCGTACATCGCGTTTCAGTCTTCTATCGCTGAAAGAGTGGGGGATATTGGTTCAATCTCAATAAATCATAAGAAGACATAATACCCTTAAGTTACAACTTTGACTCTGAAAGCACTATCAATGGCATCCATTCTCACGCTGCATCGAGTGACCACTCTCGAAGAATTGGAACCGCTATATCACATCGGAGCAGACGCCTTCCGAGATGACCCATGTATGAACTGGTTCTACCCTGGTGGTCGCGATCATCCAGATGACTTTGTGGTGCTGTGGAAGAATATTCTACAGATGGAGTTCTTCGACAAGGGGAAATTCATCCTTGCCGCCACCATCCGGGATCCCGATGATGACGATGAGAGAGGCCTGGGCAGGGTAGTAGGATTTGCAGTATGGGAACGGAATGGAGTTTGCGATGCGGCCAGGAGCTGGCAAGGGGGTAGTCTTTCCAAACGTATGCCGTTGGGCCTCTGAGGCGCTTGTTTATTCATATAATCCTGTTTATGTTCTCGGACTAATGAGGCTATATCTAATCCAGGGCTGAAACGATTCAACCTCAACTTCAAGATCGCTTATACGTTCCATCTGGACACACCAAAAAGATCCATATCCTGGCCAAAGCTAAATCACTATGTACATGAGCTCAAGTTAGCGAAGGATAGTCAACCGACTGAGTCGTGGTACCTGAGTATTTTGGCCGTTAGCTCAAAGGCTCAGGGACAAGGAGTTGGAAGGAAATTGCTTCAATGGGGAATTGATCGGTCGGAGGAAGAGAATATCCCAGCTACTTTGGTAGCAACTAACGCAGGGCTTCACTTATATGAAAGTACGGGGTTTGGACGCACGGGGTGGCTGTTTTTCGATGATGAGCGGCAGAAACAAACCATTATGAGGAGGGATGTACGACTGACTTGATTGTTCTGTGACTCAGGCAATAGCAAATAGTTGTAATAGATCTTTACTCTAGGTTTAGCTCCAGTTATACTGTTTTTCCCATCATATTCTTAAGCTACCTATCAAATATTGTAAAAGAGCATAGCGTCTGCATTGCGATACAACTGGTACATCTTATCCTGACTATTCGGGTCGCCCATCTCCAACCTGATGACCCGGCTTGAAGTTTCCGTAGCACGCCTGTTGATACATAGCTTTCTCCTTGAGTTTGGGTACAGCATTTAGGAAATGTGTGACCTTGCAAAACCCATTCTTTGAATGTTCACATCCGACTACATCAGAAATCGGGAGTGGCGCACCATTCAACACGAAGCGGATATAGTCGGTCGTGTTTTGGGTATCGGACAGGTCTGGATTGGTATAAAGAATATTATCTAACTTGTCGAGGCTCGCTTCTTCAGGACAGGTCCAAACTTCGGAGATTAGGCGTGCTCCAAAAGGCGCCATCTTGTTTAACTGAAAGCTCCGAGGGACGGCATGAGCTACCTTTGAAGGCATACCTTCGGGCCCATAATTAAAATATTGGAGTCCCAGAGCAGTAATGGTTCCGATAATGACTTTGTCATGAGTCATGTCCATGTACAGGGGCTGGTTTACCGGAAACGTAGCGGAGTGATTATCATAGGTAATGTTGATACTGGTATCGCTTGAATCGATTAATTTTCTCTCGAGCCTGGCAGCAAGCTCGAGAAGATATCCGATACCTTGCGCTCTTCCCATAGGGGAACCAAACGCAGAGGCGCCGTAAAGTTGTATATCGAGGTTATAGGCGAAGTCGAGCCATTCTTGTTCGCCAAAGAGACCACAGAATGATGAGCTACCTAAGGTTGCATATTCATATGGGCAAAGGTTCATCATCGCCAGCACATCGGAATTTGTCAAATTGAAGTCCTCTGGAAAATACTTCGATAGTCTCGCGAGAGGATCTTTCACCATTCTAGGGATGAATCTCTCAGACGCATGTGTTCTATATATATGTTAGAACTTCAAGTGAAGTGTCCAGTAGAAGACCCACGGAATTCAGCGTACCCTTCTTTCAGATCACCTGGGCAGGAATGTTCAGCTGCAAGTGTATTATTCAGACCGTTGCCCTCGGGGATTACCACGAGATTGTACGAGGAATTGGCATGGCCGGGCCCGAAGAAACCAGCTACTCGATCAGCAACTCGGGTCAATGGATTAATGAAGATTAAATGGACTGACTTAACCACCACTTCGCACTCTGTAAGACTCTCTGCTTGTCCGTCGTCCTAAAAGTTGGCTTCGCTCTTCGAGTTCCATTTGGATATACGTTCAACTTTGGATCCCAAACTGCCATTCCAGGAGGCGCTCGATACACCATACGTCCATACTTTGACCATATATCTGCCCCAGAACTTGCCTCTGTTGCAGTACCCGTGGCAAGCAAGATATCACGACCGAGGAGATACTTCCAATTTTTCAAAAAGGTCAAAGGTCCTGTGCCGACCGAGACATTGTGGTCGCTCTTATACCTCTTCAGCTTCTTGCTAAATGTCTCCATCCCCTCTCCATCAAACCAGGAGGATTCGGGATAGCGCTCTGCATGTCTATGCAAAACATGAACTTGCGATAGTTCGCAACCACGCGGAACACCCTTCGGGACTCTGAATCCATCAGCTTCTTTGTAGGGACTGAGATTGGCCCAGCTGCTAGTTATATCAAAATGGGACGAATATTGAGGGCTTTTTGGTCCGGCGGCCGTGTCTATCGAGCTGGATGAAGGTGCATCGCGAGTGAATGCCAAGAACGCAGCCAGAACAATTTGGGGGTTCAGCCAGTGGAGCATTTTTTTTTCTCTCGTCTTTTGTGTTATGGTTCTTATGGGGCAAGGAGATGGGGAATCACATCAGCGTGGGGAAACTCCCGGCAGACGTCATAACATATGCACGTCATCGGCTCTCGGAGCGGGAAAGCAAAACAAACCAATATAGGGCTTTGCGTATCATATGGGAAAGATGAAAAGGTATAGAAGAACAAAAAGGATAACCAAAGACAGAAATGAAGTTAAATAGATATATAATGATGCCTTAACCAATATTGATTGACCTTCATAATGACTAAAAGCCTTCCCTACAGCTGCTGGCTTTCTGGAAGATACAAGAACGTATCTACTAGTTAGGTGTGGTGTGTTTATAGTCCATCATCTTCACATTATGAAATTGTTGACATATGAAAGTGTCTTAGTAGATCGGATAACGTACAACTCATCTTTTAGCATTGGCCTAGCTTGAGCGCCGTAGTCTAACTTCCTTGAATACCAAGGATTTGCTGGTATATCGGGTATCTATATCTGACCATCAGCGTGTATCCGTGATATGCTCTCATCGTGCTCTGCCAATTTGACATTAACTTCCTTATACTGGTAGCTTTACTTACTTGAGGTTGATATTAGCCAGAGAGAAGTTATCAGCCATTAATATGGTACATCAACGGTACACCACCCACAGCGAGGACTTCAAGGGGAGAGACATATAGACGAATAGTAAGGAAGTCAGCATGGCTCATGTGATGGGCTGGGGAATCCTATTTCTTTGCTGTCTTTCGGTTTTAATTATCTAGTGGTTTATGCAGCTTTCTCGCTACCTTCACTACATTAACTTATAAAAATGCGAGCTCTACCGTCCAATAATTCGTCCAATTGGCGTTTTATATCACAAGTAGTCTCTTTTAGCGGCCCTTCGCTCTAGTATATGGGACTTGAGGTTTTCCGAATAGCCAAGCGAAAGACTTTCTACGATCTGCAGTCATAAAAAAGGTGCCACAGAATGACACCCGTCCCCGCCCATGGTCTAGCTCTGTCTGATTCAATTACACGCGGGGTCATGAATTGTATAAAATCATTACGTGCGCCTGGCAAAGGTCTGGATGGGTCTTTCGTATTGCAAAGTAAGTATTCCACGTTATACAGTGGGCATTTCTAGCCGTCCTTTGTTTTCCGATGGTTGGAGGTCATATAGGATAATATGAACCCTACACGGGTTGCATAGTCTTGAAGTAACGTTCTTCATTCAGCTATCATACCAGCGCACTGGCCTCTTGGGTCAGCTTGCTCATTGCCATTGAAACTAATGGTGCAACGCCAGTCATCCGGGAGCCCGATAACCATAAGATGGGCCCACAATCTCCAGACTGGAAACCTTAAGCCGGCTGCTGTGCAAATCTTCGTTCTTAATATCATATACAAGGGTACCTGGCCGCTTGATCCGCACGTTCCTGTGCTATCTAAGAGGCTGGGCTTGTCGTGGTTTAAGGTGTCAACAGGGCTTACGGTGTTATTTTACCTTGATTCGAATTGTGACTAAATACGCATAGATGTGCTCATTTATGCAGACACGAAGCAACAGCTCGTACAGCAGGAGGATGACGTTAAAAGTCCGAGACTTGTATGCCGGTCAGTTGTAATATGGCCTGCAGCAAAACCTAAGTCATCTACGTAATTACCACTGCCTTATTCCATACCATACATCGCAGAAGGAGGCTTACCCGCTCTTGTAAGATAGCAGTTAGTAGCCCGTGCTGCGAACATTCCCGTGCATCGAAAAAAGCGTTAAACGAATATCACTTTCCGACATTACAAAAGCTAGTGACTTATTTGTACAGCAAGACAAACGATCATTTTCATATCGCTTTCCTTCCTACAAGTGTTGCCTATTTGTACTCACCACTGCCCGTATGCTTAAACGCAAACATTGAGTAGTCGGAATTTCATATTGCACTCCCATGATGATGGCAATTCTATCGACATTCAAGATGGGGAACCTGATAGAGACTGGCGTCTATGCCGTTCTTGGTACCTTTGGAGTTGCTCTTCTGTTTGGGTTGGTTGTCTTCATGTCCGACTACCTAGATGGCTGGCTCAGGAGAAGGGCTCTGGGTGACATTCCTTTTGTAGATGAGGGAAGCAATATGAGTGCATGTTTGAGATGGTGGAGCCGGAGGTTTGAAGCTGAAAAAGAGTACGCAAAAGCTTATGAGCTGGTAAGTGAATGTGTCATCTCACCCTGTCACTGGGTGCTGTCAAACCAACATCCATCTAACACATGTACAGTACAGCAAGAGAGGTAAACCATATGCAACGAGAGTCAAAAACAATGATCACGGCATCGTGCTTCCTCTGAATTCAACCAAGGAATGGCGTTCCTTACCAAACGATCAACTGAGCTTTCTGCATGCATTGTCGGAGGTAATCGCCTGATTTCAGATAGAGATGGGCATTGTATTCTAACCAAAATGTGTAGTTCGCCGATCTGTATATGCATACAAATGTAACCGATAGGACACCTTTGCATGCAGTGCATTATTGCAACAACACTAATACACTAAGTACGCATCAGTCCTTATAGGTAGCAAGGTGTATAATACCATTGCCAAGCACTAAAACACTCTGTAGGCCGGTTTAATCGTCATATCGTTGATGCCACATGTAGAACTCTGCCATTGATTGCTGGCACGCCTACAGATCATGGTAAGCGACTCATCCAAGTTCGATAACCTCTTATTAACTTAATGGAGTAGAATGGAAGCAAGTGAATGTATTTTACAGTATACTTTCGTTGTGCTCAACGGTTGCGATGTCTGTGGTCCTCGGACCGGAATTCACCATGGACACATCTCTCATACAAACTATCATGATGTACAATCGTGCGATAATGCCCAGCTGTGCTGAACGAACTAGCTACCCCCGTATCCTCCGTCCATTTGTATGGCGCCTCTCACCACTCTGTCTTGCAATGCAGTCGAATCTCTCAAAGGCAAAGATGAATCTGATCCCAGAAATAAAGCACCGCATCGGTATTGCACGTTCGAAGAAAGGGTTAATAGAGAATGGTGGCCCAATGTCTCTCTTGGATGGCCTCATTGAGATGGCATTCGAAAAAGGCAGTTTGAGTCGCAGTAGCGATCGCGGTGATGATCGTCAGCAGGCAAATTTATTGGCCGAGGAGATCATGTTTTATCATTTTGAGCTGTCCTCGCCCATTGCATTCTTCATAACCTTCAATCTGTACGTGATTATGAACCACAAGGAATACTTGGCTCCTCTCCGAGAGGAGATTAGCGAGGCCTCCAAACGGTCCGGTGGGAGCTTAACACTCGATACCTTGAAGCACGCCCCAAGGTTGGAGAGTTTCGTCAAGGAGACATGTCGTTTGTACGATATTTCATGCTGTAAATTCTTCTTCTACATTCAGCCTTTCACTTTATCTCTCTTCTCTTCTTCTCATTTTATCAAATAGCAACTGACCAGCATTCAACCCGTCTTCTAGTAACCAGCTTCCGCCGCGTCATGAAACCAGTTCACCTGGAGTCTATAAATTTATCTCTAAACGCAGGTACCATAATTATGTCACCTGGTAGAGATGTCCATCTTGACCCAGAGTATTATGAAAACCCAACCACGTTCGATGGTTACCGCTTCTACGATGCCAGTCGTGGAACCTGTACTCCGCATATATCTACCACCTCCCCGACATTCCTCACATTCTCTCACGGAATAAGTGCCTGTCCGGCACGGGTCCTTGCGACTCAAATCACTCGAGTTATCTTTATATTGTTCCTTCTCAAATATGATGTGGAACTCGCACATGAAGAGATGCCATCGTATGGCATCGCAGATGGGCCAGTGTATCTCCCTAATCCCTCGGTCATGATGCGAGTAAGGACCCGCCAAAAAGGCGCCTTAGGACTGTGAAACTATGTCTCCAATATCGTATTTAATCGTATATCTGGGGTAATTATTGGTTTGAAGTCTGGTATCAGATAGCATTACTGTGTCCTGGCTTGACTCGGGTATGGGTTTGGCGAATGTGTTATCTGCTTTCCTCAATTAGCTCTTTTTCACAAATTACAATGCTACTACCCCCCGACAGTATGCATTTATGTATCCTACCTTTGCTATCTTTTTTTTTTTTTATGAAAAGGAGGTAGAACGATAGGATTTGCATGTTAGTTTGATACCGTAAGTCCAGTTTTCTAGATATTTTCGTGAAATGCGAGCGCTGGTGGAACTTTTGCCACTGAAAGGGCCATGCTGCGGTTAGGGTTCCGTATATGCAAAAGACACAGGGATTGTCCACCGTTAGGTGACACAGCAGACCATTACGCGAATTGTAATCCTGACTTACTAAAGCTCGTACCATGAGCAATGATCTCCTTGGCTGGTAGAGACTGGCATATAAACTATTCCTCTCGGTGAAAGATAACATTCATCCTCCGCCACCCAAAACACTGTTCCCTCATTCCTTCTTCCTTTGTCCTGTGACACTCTTTGCCAGATATTAGTAATTCGATCATGCAAGAAGCTCTGACTACAGATCTGCCCGCCTCCCATAATATCCATGACAGTCGCTTTGCCTCCCTGTATGAATTGGGTGGTAAGATTACGGAGCTATTTGCCAAAGAGCTGATTTCTCAGTCAGGCTTGCCTCTGTCAAGTCAGGATCCTTTAGTAATCCTTGACCTTGCCTGTGGAACGGGTGCTGTCTCAAGCGTGCTTCACCATACTATCGGTAACGACAAGAAGGGTAACTGGCAGTTGACCTGTGGTGATATGTCAGACAATATGCTTCATTATACTAGACTGAAGATGCTGCAGGAAGCATGGCATAATGCCGAAGTGAAGATCGTGAATGCACAAGACACTCGGCTGCCAAGTGCACACTATACCCATGTGTTCACAGCCTTTGGTGAGTAAACCTAGGAAACTTGTGCAAGCGAAAGGACATCCTAGGAGTATTGACCAACGGGATTTCTAGCTTTTAATCTCTTTCCTGATGATAGGTCTGCCATGAAAGGTAGGGCCGTTGGATACACTCTCATGATTGTGACAGGCATAATTTCACTAATAACTTAGTTCAGAATGCTTCAGAATACTTCAACCAGGTGGCATCTTAGCAATCTCCACATGGAAGAGCAGTCAGTCGTTCAATTCATAGTCAAGTCTATTTGCTTACACATAGATGCTAAAATGTGATATGTACGCCCAAAGCGATCTGGGTGTGCACACTTAGTGCTGCCATTACCAGCTTGTCCAGTAATCTTCCAGCTCCGTCAGAGAAAGAGATTTACGGAGTATACAATGTCGGCTGGGACAAGGAGTCATCTGTGCGCACTAAGTTTGAGCAAGCCGGATTCAATGAGATCGAAGTCCGAACGGTGAAAAAGGAATATTTGGTTCCCGTGGATCAGTTTGCCAAAAGCTGCACCATCCTTATTCCCATCATGGTGAGCATTTTCTGGACGCAGGAGCAGCGAGAACTGTACGAGTCCGAGTTGCCAATGGTCATTCATCGCTATGTTGAGGGGATTTACGGGAGGGAAGGCATGGCTTCCATGGAGGCTGAAGCGATCATTGCTACAGGCCGTAAGCCTTGACTTGCTTGTAAGGTTGAATACAGAGTCCTAAGCATTGTAGGTATCCATGTCTATGTATTTATGTCGTGATTTTCTGGTCGAGGCTAGGTGTCCTAGTACAGAGCGGTAGCATCCAGACCGTTTTTACTGCATTTACCTAAGTCAGAATCTCATACAATAATGAAGATACCCAACAAAGCCAATATATATAGTCACACCAACGGTAGACCCTACAGTTCTATGGCGACCCGGAAATCTCCCACATCCTCCCGCTAGAGCAGGTAAGCTTTATGACTTCATGTCGCGATGTATACCGCTTTCTGGCGTGATCGCGGTGAATCATCTTTCTAAAGATGATTAAATATCGTCGCATTATACCTATTCTACATTACCTTGTCAACTTTGTCAAGTAGAGTTCGCCAAATACCCCCCAATCTTCTGTTCTTTAAAAAAGAAAATTCCATCTTAATTATACGCAAATACCAGTCAATCAACGTTCAAATATTGTATTAATCAAGCTATAGAGTAAGTAACTAGCGGAACCAACAGTCACTTAGAAAGGAAACGCCATCATTCATTAAGCAATTAATAAGGAAGTATGATCACTTGAGCCGCGCCTCAAGGAGACCGTGGCAGTTTCCAGCAATTTGATAAACTTCTCTGACTTCAAGCCCAGCTAAATCAAGAACTTCTTCCCAATCCTTTAATGTTCTCTGTTTAGCACCAAGGTTCATCATAACCATCTCCATCCATCCTTCCTCGACCCCGGCGTTCACATGAGGAACAATGATTTCCTCAATAAGAAGCCGGGACTTCTCTGGCTGCATTGCCGCTGCGACGTTCTTCAGGATCTCGACAATACTGTCCTGAGGCCAATTATGGAGGCAGCGGCGAATTAGATAGGTAAGAGCTCCTAATGGGAGTGGTTTCATTATGCTTGGATCACTACATATCCAGATCTCTGGGGAGAGTATCTTACCTCGAACAGGTTGCTCCTCAAAGAAATTATATGCCATGTTCTCAATTCCATCGCCAAGTGGATCCGCATTTTGGATCACATGTGCCTGATCCTGAAGGATGAATCTGCCAGAAAGACTACCACAGTGAGACCGAATGCGAGAAATTCCCTTCCCCGTACCACCGCCGATATCCACCGCAACCACTGTGGTGGGAGTAGGATGCAAGTCTGAGAGACTTTCCCAGGGGAAGAGATCGATCATCCACAACTCAGTCATTGCCTGCAATGTCATACCATCATTGAAAGATGCCATTCTCGTGGGCCGCTCAGAGAGGTATGCCCACATGCTCTTTCCATTCGTGTCATGGGCATACGTGTATGGATTATCACTAGTAGATGTTGGTTCCCTCCATGAATTGCGTTTCAGGAATTCATGCATCTTAAGATGCGCTGGCATATGCTCATCCATTCTAAAGTAGTGCTATATCAGCCTACCATTAGCATGTGTTGTAATTGCATGGGCACTTACGCAAAGCGAAACATACCCCGAATTGCAGGGTTGAGGTAGGCTTCTGAAAACGGAGTGTGTCTATATTGACGCGGTCCAGTCTCTTCAAAAAGAGCGGAGTTCCTCATTAATCGGGCTAATTTCCAATTAGCTAATTGACAAATATTGTGGGATATGAGTGCATCACGCACCTAGGAGAGCTTCGTCCACCTCTAGCTCTTCCGCAAGCTCCTTCGTACTCCGGGCCTCACCACCGGTGGGAAGCATATCAAATGCCCCCATTTCCAACAACGACCGGGTACATGCTAGATGGGCCGTCTAACAGTATGTGTTAGGGATCACGATGATGTGGGGGACACAAAAAGGGTAGTCTTACCCTCTCAAAGCAAGTGGCAACAGCATCTATTGGGCCCTGCGCTATCTGGAGGAACTTGTAGGCCTCCAGTACGAGATTGTCGTGCACAGTCTGATTGGCACTATGGTCTTTTATACTTCCGTCGTGTTCAATAAGAAGTCTCGACTGACATTCACTCGCGGCAGCATTAAGTCTCCCCAGGGCCGCTGTAATCGATTGGAGATACTGGTCCATCTCTTCAGGAGCTCCCATGATTGGGGCAATTATTTTGAATTCGGATAGACCAAGTCGTCAGAGAGAAGTAGTTTATGTTTGGGGTATTAGTAGGCAGTATGAAAGAGAATTTAAATACGTAGATATACTTGGGCCTCTAGGAATTGCTACTTCACGACACTAGTACACTTCTAGTATACTTATTATACAATTTCTTGGACCATTCTAGAAATCAGCCAACAACATATAATACCTCACATGTGAAACTGCCGAAGTGCATATATGTCATAGTACGTTGGTCATTTTTGAAATTTGGTGGGCTATCCTTACAGACCTACGAAGCCAATATTCGTCATCACTCATTGACACTCGGCGATTGTATTCTGTATCTATTTCCTTCTATAGTCCACAGCTGGGCCAGGTTACTTGTCCCTTAGCCTTATCGGTGTATAAGCCCCCAGTCTATCAGAGAGAAGGTCTACTGCAACTATATCCAGGATCCCCTGTCTACCCCTTTAAGGGTCCTTAAGGGTCTTCTGGAGTGGCTAGGACCTACATCATCTAATAAGTACAAGATATAAAGAAAACATACCTCGTATTCTCAGTTGCTTTTTTGATGCCATAGGCCGTTTTGCAATTCGAATTCAATAATTACACATGGCCCGGCCACCGGGACTCGACTTTCAAAGGTCACTGCATCAGCGCCTTGGCTTGTCGGACATGCAATGCAGATACCGACTCATGCAGCACACACGCACGGCTTTGATCACTCTGCCTGCACGTCCCTTATGCTGTTGCGAATCTGGCCAGAAGTGAGTCTGAAGATATTTCTCGCAACAAATGATGTGTCAAATAGTGCTGCTTCCTGGGTTTCCGTCAAAGAATAACTCTAAACTTCTGGACCAGCACCCGGCGTATCCGCCGCTATGATGGTACGTCTCCAAGCTTCTACGGGCCTGGCCTGATTTGGAATTGTGATGTGCTTTCTCAAATGTATGACTTGAAGCATACCTGGATAGTATTTCACTGGCATCGTTTGCTTGTGATATGCGCCACTTCGATTGTATTCAGTATAGGACGGGCCACATCTCGATGAGCACAGTATCTAGGACAACGCTAACGGAGGCTAGTGCTGACCTTGCCTTCACTGAACACCTGTCAGATGGAGCCTCTTCTGGTGCGTAATTTTCTCGAATAGGAAAATGATAGATGGTTCCATAGTGGGACATATATGTGAGGATGTCAACTCTGGAGCGCTGAACAACATCCCGCTATTCTGTCCTTTTTGATCGGTTGTTGAACTCACACAGACCTAGCTCTCGTGGTAAGGACATGACCAGGAAGGTGGCCAGATGTAACCCAGGATCTTTGCGTATGTGAAATATCAAAGATATTGTAGCGGATGGCGTGCAATGGCCCTTAATTCGTGGTACAGTGAATTCACAGCCTGTATAGACACATCTCGCAACATAGTATATTACGAGGTACGGTCATAAAGAGACCTACGCTTGATCAATCGCGGCACCATGTGCTGTACATGTTTGACTATCACTCCACCCTGAAGTCCATATTCCAAACAATATGCGAATTTTCCATTTCAACAACAAGTTTCCTCCAGATGATCTCTCGGACCTGTTCCGACGACTACGTTTGCATTCAAAGTGCCCAAACCATGTGGTCTTGGCCAGAGTGCTAGAGGAGGTAACAGATGTCGTGCGAGAGGAAATCACTAGGCTTCCGGCCGAATTGAGAAGCCTGTTGCCTCCTTTCCAATCTATCCTCGATCTTGCAGAGAGCTTCAATTGGCATCAAGGGCCCTTGTCAGGAACATTCGAGTGTGTCTTTTTGGTACTTGTGCCGGTATGCCTCTTTGTCGGGTGAGTCGACTTCTTAATGCAGAGCTCCCGCGATGAAGCAACATGGAATGGTAATAATCTTGATTAGAAATTATGAGGGTCGGCCAAATGAGTTCATCTTCCGCCGAGATACATCACTGTTTACTGGGCTCGGGCTGGGATTCTTAGCCGCTACCGCAATCGTAGCATCTCCCTCTTTATGCAACGTGCCAGCCACCGTGGCGGAGGTGGTGCGCATTGCAATGAGAACTGGTCTTCTGATATATCAGAGATCTCAGGACCTCGAACCACAATGTCTTGATGCCGCACTTGAGAGTTGGACCAGCATTGTGAAAGGTATGGGCGAGGTAGCTGTACGAGAAGGAATCGAGGAATACAACTCATCCACAGTAAGCAAAAACAGGGCATACGTAGGAGTAGAACTAACTATCACACAGGACACTCCACAACCTAGTTCAATCTACATCAGTGTAGTTGAGCCTGACGGCAGTGTCTTCATAAACGGTCCACCGTCTAGGCTACGCAAATTCTTTAGCGCGTCAGGAAAGGTGCAATCAGCTGCTCATGCTCCGTTGCCTGTATATGGGGGCCCTTGTCATGCACCACACCTATACAACCACAGCCACAGTTCCTGGGCTGTGAAGCAATGCCGTGGGAAGATTTCATCTCGTGATACCTCCCATGCGGCCCACCTTCTTTCCATGGCAGATGGTAACCCCTTAAAAGCGGGTACAGCAATAGAGCTATTTGAATCCGCCACGTATATTCTATTAACGAGCATCATTCGCTGGGGTGTTGTGGTGGAAGCCATCACAACCTCGTCGTCACTATGGGAGAAGGACATGAAGCTGCAAATTGAGATGCTCAGGCCTTCTCCTGTCGTGGATGGCTTAGTGTCTGCAATTCAGAATAGTCGCCCTGGTTGCACCGCCTGCATAGTGGACCTTGGACAGTGGATATTTTATGATACTCAGATTAATCCACACGTTCCCCACGAAAGGATCGCAGTGGTTGGCATGTCTTGCAGGCTACCTGGAGGGGCTGACGATTTAGAGTTGTTTTGGGAGCTTCTTAGGGAAGGGCGTGATGTTCACCAGAAGGTTCCAGCAGACCGATACGATGTTGATAGCCATACAGACGTTACAGGCAAGCGACCGAATACCAGTCATACTCCGTTCGGTTGCTTTGTAGATCGGCCTGGGCTCTTCGACGCCGGTTTCTTCGACATGTCTCCTCGTGAAGCAGGACAAACCGATCCAACCCATCGCCTTGCGCTCCTTACGGCCTATGAAGCTCTTGAACAGTCAGGTTATGTTCCTGATCGTACTCGATCTACCAGACGGGAAAGAGTGAGTACGATTTATGGCCAGTGCTCTGATGACTATCGTGAGTGCAACGCCGGGCAGGATATCGATATGTATTTCATTCCTGGGAACTACCGTGCCTTTGCACCAGGGAGAATCAGTTACTTCTTTAAATTCTCAGGACCCAGCTTCAATATTGACACTGCATGCTCGGCGAGTTTAGCCGCTGTTCAGATTGCTTGCTCGGTACTCTCGCGTTGCGAGGCAGATATGGTAGTCGCCGGAGGATTGAATATCCTCACAGGGTCAGATAGTTTTGCAGGCCTTAGCAAAGGTTTCTTTCTGTCTAAAACCGGGAATTGTCAGGTCTTTGATGATACTGCAGATGGCTATTGTCGTGCCGATGGGATCGGGTCTATTATACTCAAGCGACTGTCCGATGCCCTGCAAGATAACGATAATATTCTCGGCCTGATCGCAAGTAGCGCCACTAACCATTCCTCCAATGCAATTTCAATAACCCATCCACATGCTCCTACACAAGCCAATCTTTACCGCTCGACCTTGATGCAGGCTGGCGTTCGTCCACAAGACGTAGACCTGGTCGAGATGCATGGCACCGGCACCCAGGCGGGCGACGCCGCCGAGATCGAGTCAGTTACGAAGGTGTTCAGTCCAGCTGTGCCACGGCGATCACAGCCATTGCGCATTTCATCTGTCAAGGCTAATGTAGGTCACGGAGAGGCAGCAGCCGGCATTACAGCACTGATAAAATCACTCTTGATTTTTAAGCACAATGAGATTCCACCGCAAGTGTGCCACAGAACCACCTTGAATTCTGGGTTTCCCGACCTTCGACAACTTAATGTGCATATCCCCAAGGAGATCACTCCATGGCCACGTTTACCCAGTCGCAAAAGGTATATTATGGTCAACAATTTCAGCGCGGCTGGGGGAAATACCAGTCTTCTCTTGGAAGAGCCCCCGGTTAGGCCAGACCCTAAGGGGTGTCCCCAAACAAGATTCGTTGTTACTGTGTCAGCCAAGAGCACAGAGTCTCTAATATGAAATCTGGAAAGACTGCTGGCTTTTCTTAAAATGGATTCATTAGTGGATCTTGCAAGCCTTGTGTACACCACCACTGCGCGTCGTCTGCATCACAAGTATCGCATAGTGGTGCATGGGGACTCGATTCAGGAGATAGTTACATCCCTTGAGCACCATTTGTCCATCGCAGAGGCTCAGTGTGCGATTCAGAAAGCCCCAACCGTCGGCTTTGTCTTCTCCGGCCAAGGTAGCTTTTACCAAGGTGTTGGGCGCCAACTCTTCCAGGAATACCCACCCTACCGGAAGGAAATCCAACGTTTAAATGAGATATGCACATTTCACGGCTTTGACTCCATCCTCCCAGCAATCACGAGTCAAAGCTCAGATGTACTTGAGATTAGTCCATTCATGGCACAACTGGTAACAGTATGTGTTCAGATCGCCCTATGCCGCTTATGGAGAAGCCTTGGAGTGATGCCGAATGTTGTTATAGGCGCGAGCCTCGGCGAATATGCTGCACTCTACGCTGCCGGGACCCTATCAGCCAGTGATGTTATCTATCTCGTCGGGCAGCGGGCCTCGCTGATGCAGGAATTATGTACCATCAACAGTCACTCAATGCTAGCTGTCAAGGCGACGGTCGGTGAAATTCGTCACACCGTGCGGAACAGCGCATATGAAATCGCATGTATCAATGGCCCTAGAGATGTGACCCTCGCCGCCTCCGTCGAAGATATCAATGACATCCAACAGACTTTGGCGTCGCAGGGATACCGAGTCGTGAAGTTGAATGTGCCCTTTGCGTTCCACTCTTCTCAGATCGAGCCCATCCTGGAACCATATAGTAAGATTGCCCAGTCGGTCATCTTCCGGAATTTAAAAACAGCACTCATATCTCCTCTATTGGGTGACGTTGTATATGACAGCAAATCATTTTCACCATCATATCTGCGTGATAGCACTAGGGGTACTGTGCGGTTCGCTGATGCAATTGCAAAAGCTCAGGAGATGAAGCTAGTGGACTCCAAGACTGTCTGGGTTGAGATTGGGGTGCAGCCGAGTTACACCGGTGCTATGCACGCAAACATTCCGAACCTTGAGGTGATGGTACCTAGCTTGAGATCTGACGAAAGCAATTGGCATACGTTGGCTGTCAGTATGTCAGCCTTGCACAGGGCGGGCGTTCACCTTGACTGGAACACCTGGTATCGGCCCTTTGAGTCAGAACTACGCCTGCTGAACCTACCTTCGTACCAATGGAATTTAAAGAACCATTGGATTCAACATAACGGGGATTGGCTATTGCTGAAAGATAAACGTTCTAGGACAGGGCATAAGAGCTTTCCAGCCTCTGCTCCCCCGTCCTTGCGCACCGCTCTCGTGCAACAAATCTTGGAGGAATCATTCGGGAAGGATGGTGGGAGCATCGTCATTCAGTCAGATGTGACTGACGATGATTTCTTTGCCGTTGCTTTGGGACACAAAATGAGTGGTCGACCACTCGTCTCGGTGGTAAGTGGTACACTTGATTCCGACTAATCGCCAGATGCCTTTTTGACTGACACTAATTTTCAGTTCGCTTACACTGATATCGCTCTGACTATGGCGAGATATATGTATTCCAGGCTAAAACCCGGAACACAGCTCTTGGCCATGGACTTTGGTAGAGTCCGCGTCTTCCAGGGCTTAATCCCCCGGAAGGATAGGTCTAAGCCCCAGTACGTGCGAATGTGCATGCAAGCAGATTCCATGTGCTCTTCGATGCCGCTGTCATTGCATCGAGTCCTGGACGATGACACAAGTGAGGAGGAACTAGCCACTGGTGTCGTGACGTGTGGAGATCCCCGGTCATGGCGAGAAGAGTGGGCCGCTTATTCCCATCTACTGACAAGCCGTATTGAAGCGCTGCATCAGCTTGCAGACCAAGGGCTAGCAAGCCGCGTGTCAAAGGACTTGGTGTACACACTCTTCAAGAATGTTGTTGACTACGCCGAGCATTACCGTGGTATTCAATCGGTCATCATGTACGGTCTGGAAGCAGTTGCGGATGTCATTCTATCACCCAGTCAAGATAGCCGGTGGACGGCACCTCCTCATCACATCGACCCCATTACACATGTCGGAGGTCTCATTCTGAACGCTGGACCAGCCATGGACGACACCAACACAATTTATGTCATGGAAGGTTGGGAATCCATGCGATTCTCTGATCTCTTGGCAGCCGGAGAGCTGTATCGATCGTACGTTAAGATGAACCCTACCAGCGATAATTCCGGGTGTTTTTCCGGTGACGTATATATCTTGCATGGGGACCATGTGATTGGAAAGGTACACGAGATGACGCTTCGCCCATTACCTCGCATTCTCATGAGTCGGTTCTTTGACCCCCAAGACGGCCAGTGTGGGCAAACGGCTCAGCAAGAACCCTCCACTCGAGTCTCTCCAATATCGCAAGGGACAAGTTCAGCCACGACTACAGAGTCCACTCAGTCACAGAAAGATGATTCAGAAAACACGTCGCTCGTTACCTGTGAAAACGAAACCAAACCTCCAATCTCGGCATCCTGGCCTAACGCCAACAGCCAGCTTATCCGTGACGCTATATATCTAATCGCGTCCGAAACTGGGGTAGAGCCAAACGCCCTGACGGATGAAACTGAATTTTCTGCGGTTGGGGTCGATTCTCTTCTTTCGCTAGTATTGGTGGAGAAGTTTGCCCTTGAGCTAAACGTTGATTTGCAAGGTTCTTTTTCCCTGGAAACTCCAACCGTTAGTGATCTGAAAGCGCATCTCGAGGCTAACCTGATGACTATGCGCTGAGATGCGTTTTCAATGAGGCTTGGTTTACATATGTAACGTAACTCCGACATGGTTAAGTGGCAGTTAGTTTACATATCCCTACAAGGCAGACCATTAACAATTATTCTGTTGATGGAAATGTGAGGCATGAACCCATTCTTCGTCTTAAAAATCCTCCCTTCTTTCAGTAAATAAATATCACCCTTGATAACCTACAGATCAGTTTGCCTAGTCCTCTTGTAAAGAGCTCCAAACGCTATGAACGTTATCCAGAAAGCAATCAGTTGTTGGAACTTTGTTAGAGAGCTTGACCTTACAACCTATGAAGAATTAAGCACCTGGCCACTTGGATCTTAAAACCAAAAATATATTCAGGCCGCAGAACATGTCACATTTGTGGTAAACTGGTGGGAGTTGGAAAACTCTCGGTAGGTATGATGGTTATTTTTTTTTTCAAGGCATTCAGGGCGAGAGCAATACAGATCCTACTCGAAAGCAGAATCAATTACATCCGACAAATATCGCGCAATAAGAGGCTGACAGGGAAAGATAATAAGTAACATGGATTCTAATGTTTTTCGTTACCCCGATTGGTGCCTAGGTTCCAGCTAGTGATGCGATCAACCTGAATCGGACATGAACTAGGGCTGAGCCAATCATGTGTTACATATCCCGGTGATAGGTTGCTTCACATTATTAATTTTCAATTTGTCAGCATTGGCTCTATAGTTACCTATATTAACTCTTATGTATACTGATGACTTAGGCATCTTGTCCACAGATTCACAGTCTCTTTCCAAATCCCGCATTACGTTAGATCCAACCATGGCGCAGGACATCATCGACAACATCGCCGCCGAGGGCATCTCCTACTACACCCCAGCGCAGGTGCCCCCGGCAGGCACGCAAGTCGAGGGGTCAACCAAGCTCTTCAGCCCCCTCACCATCCGTGGGGTGACATTCCCCAACCGTCTGTTCCTTGCGCCGCTTTGCCAGTACTCCGCCAAAGATGGCTACGCCAATGATTGGCATTTGACTCACATTGGCGGTATCATCCAGCGCGGCCCGGGGCTCGCCATCATGGAAGCCACGGCCGTGCAGAAAGTGGGTCGCATCACACCACAAGACCTTGGTCTCTACGATGATGGCCATATCGAGCCACTAAAGCGCATCACTGAGTTTGCTCACAGTCAAAGTCAGAAGATTGCTATCCAATTGGCTCACGCAGGTCGCAAGGGCAGTGCTGTTGCACCCTGGTTGAGCGGCAATGCGATGGCTGTCAAGGAGGTCGGGGGTTGGCCGGATGACATTGTTGCCCCGTCAGCAATTCCCCAGGAGGAGGGCATCAACGCCGTTCCCAGGGCTCTGACCGGGGAGGATATCCAGGTGTTGAAGAAAGACTGGGCGGAGGCTGCGAAAAGGGCCGTTCGGGCGAATTTTGATGCTATTGAGATTCACGCCGCACATGGGTATCTTCTGCACCAGTTTTTGAGTCCTGTTAGTAATCGACGAACGGATGAGTATGGGGGTAGCTTTGAAAACAGGGTCAGAATACTTCTGGAAATTTGTGAGGGGGTTCGTGGGGTTATCCCAACCACCATGCCTCTCTTGGTCCGGATTAGTGCCACTGATTGGTTCGAGTTTGACGATAACTTGAAGAAAGAGTTTCCTGAGAGCTGGACGATTGCTCAGTCGATTCGGCTCGCTCTGCTCTTGGCCAACCACGGCGTGGACCTAGTTGATGTTAGCTCAGGTGGCGTCCATGCGAAATCCGCAATCGCCATTCGGTCCGGCCCTGGCTATCAGGTTCATTTCGCTCAAGAAATCAAGAAGGCTGTGGGCGACAAGCTACTAATATCGGCTGTTGGTGGAATTAAGACGGGGACTCTGGCAGAGAATGTGGTGCAGTCTGGTATTGATGCAGTACAGGCTGGGCGTTGGTTCCAGCAGAATCCTGGCCTGGTTCGCGCGTTCGCTAATGAGCTAGGTGTGAAGGTGAGGATGGCTACCCAGATTGATTGGAGTTTTGAGGGCCGTGGAAAGAAGGCAAAGAAAAGTTCGTTATAAGGCTGTGAGTGATTATTAGAGGATAGATGCTTCATATTAGGTCCTTCTGACTATTCTCCATGTGTCTACACCAACAAGGACGTACAGTAGAGCGAATAATCAAAAGCGAATACAGTTATATCGCTTGACTAAAGACTGAAATCAATGTACGCGAAACAGTCAACCATAAAAATGTCGTACCCAAGATTAACCAGGGTAATACGGAGCCCGTGGACTATCTATTACAGTAGCATTTCCAGATGTTAATTCTCATGAAATTAATTCATTGGACTTTTCAATAAAGCTCTATGAAATTCGTAAACAACTTCGACGGCGGTCTTTCGTTAGTATATCACTAGTACCATCTGACGGTCTATTAGAGAATTTGGGTAGCTGATCTCACTTTGAGGTAGGTTTATAACATTGTCTCTACCTTTTGGTTGATGTCTTTAGTTCCACAGTAAATCCAGTGCAGGCATAGCTTAGTTGCCAACGTAGAATTTATTGGCCAGTCAGAAGCTCCACAGTAGTAGCCGGAAGGCATAAACGAGTTGCACACTCAACATTTTTTTTAGGATCGAAGGCGATACTGTCACCAAGCTCACTTCCTTTGTTCGGATGTCTCGGATTGTCAGAAACTTCAGCTAGATCACAACTCATGCCGCGAATTCTCGGCTAGCTGCATAGATGTTCCACGAATTCCGTCGGTATTAGTGAACTACTTGCCCTCTGACCTCTTCCGCCAATCATTACACCGGATAGACCGTACGCAGTTCGTCATTGACAACCCTGTGGACGGAAAAGAGGCAACGGGGACACCCGCCGCGAAGACTTCCTTTGCTTCCAGATGCTGGCATAGTCACCCGAGGAGAACTGAACTTTAATGACAAAGAGAATGAAAGTTTGATGGAGGTTAATTATTCCACCAGCTGCTTAACGGAATATCAAGAGAGAACTCGCTCTAAAACTTGTGGGTACAGGGCTTGGGAATAGACCTTACAAAGCCCCCCAACAGGCAACATGAGAAACGTAGTAGTGTCCGCAACAGCACAGGAAGGGCCCAAGAGAGCCGAGGCAGTAGTCACACAAGTTGCACAAGGTAGTGAGGTACCTACGGAGTAGGTAGAAAATAGTAGAAATCTACAATAGGGATGGCTGAGCGTCAGGCCAGCAACAGGCGGGGAATAGGCGCCACCCTAACAAAGAAATACGTGCCAAGACGGAAGGATGTAGAATTGCTTCAAAAGGCCAAGAAAACACTGGGTAGTACTACTAGTAGTAAAGGGGGCTTGGGCAATGAATCCACAACGCAAGGTGAATCCAAAGTGCGTAGATAAATTTTGAGAGTCTCATTAGTTAAAACTAAAACCAACACCAAAACCAGCTCCCATAGCTCAGTTGGTTTAGAGCATCAAGCTTATATGACCATTGTACCTTGTACTAGGTTGTATGCGTCTCTTGGAGGTCGACGGTTCGATCCCGCCTGGGAGCACTTTTTTTTACCTCTTCCTCCTGCATTCATACGGGCCACACTTTCTCTAGCAAAGCACTCTCTAATTTGTTTTGAAGCAAGCAGCGATGTTTAGCAGCTATCGTATGTTGATGTGGAAAGTCATGAATAATGGCTTTTATACTAAATACTCAATACTTATCGTAACATTTTTCGGTGGTGTTAGAGGCCATTATATATAATCACCCGACGTGGTCATTCAAGTCATACAAAAAACATCCACTACAGTAGAGGAACTAGATATGGGTTTACTACTAGAGACACAGAAGCACTATCTTTTCCACCTTGCTCACATGTTTTTCAAATTAACATATATGTACATTCTTCTGTTATTTCTCCGCCACGCGTAGGACATTTGTAATCTCCTCTAGTGGACATTAGTGTCTTCGTTATATTTAAGCCTGGTTATTTCCCATTTTCTCTAACACGCTGGATTCTGCCGGTAGAGGGGCTCAAGTAGGAAAGCGGAATGATAAAGACTACTTCCCCAGTTATTTATCAATCTGTTTCATTCTTCCCAAACAGATAGATGTTTTAAATTCGTACATAAACCACTCCATTGTTAAGCCTTGCTGTACAGTATTTTTGTTTCTTCACTTTCTCTAGACAGATAGTTTAGATCGCCAGACATTATGAACATACATGGCATCTCGTTCGCAAGCCTCGGCCTAGTCGTACTCGACGAGATCCGCCTTCCCCATAGGAAACCGCTAACCGATATCCTTGGTGGTTCTGGCGCTTACGGTGGGCTTCCTACTTTGCACCTCGTATCAGTCAATAATTAATGGGGGACGGTGTTGATAGCCACGCTCGGTGCTCGGCTATTTCTTCCACATCCAAAAAGCCATTCCTTAGGCTGGATGGTCCATGTTGGAAGTGACTTTCCGAGACCTATCAAAGACCGTTTACAAAGCTGGGATGTGACATTGATCATAGAAAGAGAATCAAACGAACCTTCGACTAGAGGTTTACTTGAATACAAAGATACTACATTTGGACGTGCGACATACCTTTCTTCGTTAAATTTGATCAATCCCCTCCCCTACTGCCAATGCAAGCTTCTCATCATCAACTTATTTAGATGTTTTGTCTACCATACAGATAACTCTAGCTAACAAGTCTTTTAGCCAAAGAGTTCAAATACACAACACCCATCCTCGCAATGCAGGATAACAGCTTGAAGAACACTCCACTCCTGACATCCAGAGCATATCATTATCTTGAAACGCCTCAGAATATAACCACCCGTCTCTCGAGTCTCCTTGCGCTTAGGGAAAAGGCAGGCGCGCCAGAACGCCCCTTCATTATCTGGGAGCCTGCCCCATTCTCGTGTTCAGTGGTTAATCTGCAAAGTTGTCTCGACGCCGTACGTATGGTTGATGTATTCTCCCCAAATCACCTAGAATTAGCCACACTATTTGGGCAATCGCGACCAGTCGTAGCAGACAAGGATAAGATTGAGTCTCAGGCACTGCGGTTCTTAGACAGCGGCGTGGGCCCGGACGGAAAAGGTACGGTGATTGTCCGAGCAGGTGAACATGGCTGCGTCATTATGGCTCGTGATATGTCTCCTATTTGGCTACCACCATTCTACCAATCTAGACCAGGAGATAAACCAGACGCTAAGGTGGTCGATCCTACTGGCGCTGGTAATACATTTCTTGGGGCATTTGCTGCTGGGTATCTCCAGACGGGAAGTATTGTTGAGGCTGGTTGTTATGGCTCCGTTGGAGCTTCTTTTGCCTTAGAGCAGGTGGGTATGCCGGAAAGGAGCAATGATGGAGAGGAGGAACGGTGGAACGGTGCCAATGTGCTCGCAAGATTGCATGAGTATCGGAAAACTATTGGACTCCCTGATATCCGAGGTTAATGTAATCTGGGGAGGCCTTTTACGGCGTCAAGTGGATGATATATTGTAGACTAATGTAGTGTAAAAAAGCTCGGGCAGATGCAGCTGTTATGTCGCATGGTGGCTCACGGAAGTAGCATACATTTGCTTTCAGTACACTCATAGCTGAATTTAAAGACAGTATGTAGCCTCTTGTGATTACGAAGTTAAACCCTTTGGTAGGATTTTGATGTCATGGCGAACTTTTTCTAGAATCCGCCTTTAGGGTTACATTTGCCTCTGCTTCCTTTTTTGTTCTTTTCTTTATTTCTCCTGTTCACTAGCACTTAGGATTGATTACTTAGGCTACAAATTGAAACTCTCGGCGAGAAAGGCTTATTACTCCATTATATAATTATCTTACTTCAGCCGTAAAGGTAACAGGCGGGCTGAGAGAGCCTATTGTCGCAACCAAATGAAGCGAGGCCGACTTCGCTAGTGGCGAAGATAATATCAAACTGCAACTTTATGCACGCCCAACGGCACTGCCGAAACATGCCAACAACCAAACATCCGATCCTGCCTTACGTCGCATGCAATATATCCCGCAGCTCCTCCGACAGAGGATACACACATTCGACCGGAAGAAGGCCTTCCGCTTCTCCGATATCTCCCTTATCCAAGGCCCTCTTGACATCCCCCATAAGACCCGTCACGTCTGTGATCGAAACGATCCACTCATCAACGTATCGCTCAACAGCCTTCCCACTGAGCCCAATCTGAATAGACCGATACCCCAATGGCTGATGCCACAGATCTCGCTCCGGATCCCACTGTACACGAACAGGACTCTCGCGGAGACGTTGACGCCATTTGTCTTGCGCTTCGTTCTGGTTGCCAGGTACATGACTGAGGCAGGATCTTTTCAGAGCCCATTCAAAGCCCTCGCGGGTTATCTCGATCGCCAAAACACGTTCTTGGTTCGGTTTGCTGGCCCAGCCGCAGCGGTAAGCCATCCAGAGGAATGAGGGTTTGATCCAGGTCATGCGGGTGCGGGAGAATGGAGGGACGAATTTCTGGGCCCTCAGAGCGGGTTCAGCGATTTCGGGGGAGAAGGCTTGGTAAACTGTGATGGTGGATCGGGTGGATTTGGCACGGATCGCTCGGAAGGGTTGAGGGGTGGGGTTATTTGTAGCCATTGTGTCTTTATTTACGCTGTTGTAGTGGATGATATTTGCGATGTTCGTTTATTGGGAGACAACACGGGTGTAAGAATGATTAGTATCAGACAGCCTTGTCGATTTCACTTGATAGATTTCGCCAAACAATTTACGAGGCCTCATTTATCTTGGACGATCAGCACATAGTTTTATGAAAGAATGAGAAAGCGGTTTTATTGGGGAAATGAGTCAATCGATTCATATCTGTGGGGCAGAAGGTTGACTCATGCAAAGGATAACTCGTATTCAACCTGCCGCAATGGGAGGACCTCGTCTCATTCAGTGGAAGATGAAATGTTACCCTTTTGACCATCCCAGCTGCAAGGATACTCCTCGAGTATGTCAACAGAAGGTAACCCAAAGCAAGTCAGGGTACCAGCGTAAGAGCCAATTATCTCATCTATAGGGCTTTCGTTAGCACCACCATGCATCCAGAATTTGGGGTCAAGATGGGAGACTTACTGAGATTAACGTCGTGGGGGTGAACAGTGCGTCTTTGATACATTCATTAATATTAGAAAACACGATTATCCAGAGGGAAGACTTACCTCCCGTTGCAGTCACACACAATAAGCCCAGAATCAGGGCTAGGGGTGCAATCGGAGCAGTAGGCGCCCGCAAATGCCCTTCCCCTATATAAAGTATTAATAAAGCCACGAATAAGTCCAGAGGATCACACACATATAAGTTTTCCATGTAAGCCCTGCTCCGTCGGCTTTGTCGTTGATGATGTCCTAAAACAGGGCGCATTGTTCTAGTCATGCAAAGTAGACAATGTGGACTTAGAAAAAGTAACTAAGCGGATTTGGTCAGAACAGAGCATAGATCCATTGTAAGATAGTTAATCCAGTGCCGGTGATTGCGTGCCCTGTCAGGTATCAGCTCTGCACTAGGTAAAAGGAGCGACGGCTGATTTGCTCCGGAAGAGCTGGAGCCTTACAGGGGCTGGGCCCTGTTCAACATTTATACCAAAGCAGCTCAGCACACCATCTTCATTATGAACTGTTCCGTCTATAGGAATTTTGTCAGCAGGAAGGAGTACACAGCCAGGATGTTGGGTCAGGGTGGGGGACTTACTAAGTTGGAAAGGGTAGAACAGCAGATATTCTAAATGTTTTATAAAAATTTATGAATAACAGAAGTCATGCTTTTAAGAAAGGAAACTCACCATCACTACCACAAAGGCACACCAAATCCTCTTGCACTTTTCCTAGGCAATTTTCTTCAGGGTAAAATCTACACTTGACGACAATTTGCCGAGATTCCGAACCCGCTTATTAAAAGTTACTCAGGATACCCACAAGACTATTAACAGATAGAAAGCGTCCCACATACTCTTTTTCTGGTTGTATGTCATACCAAGGCTGGCTAGTAAAACACCGATCAAGATCTAAATGGCTTTATATTTGGTCTCCATCACGTTTTCTGCAATTGCCAGTCACCCAGGCTTTCTCGCTTTTTGATTGTTGCATCACATTGACAGTACAAGTGTCATAAAGCCCACCCACGGGCTTTTTAGGAATCACAATCTCAGGGGGCTCATCGGCAGCCAAAGCTGCTAGAGGGAAGAAAATGGGAGGCAGGGATAAGTGCATAGTTCCCCTAATAAAGGTAGACTAATGGATACTTTGTAAGGAGTTGTAAGAGGGATTTGCTCCAGGCGGTCCTCTGGTGGCCTCTTTATCTTATTCTCAGTAAAGTCCCCGGAAGCTCTTATTTGCACAGTTAAGAAGTGTATTCTTTCTACTGAACTCTACACTTCTCATGGGGAGGGTGTTTTGCTGAGTCTGGCTCATGGACTCTGTCATCAAGGACGGTCCAGCGCGGGCGCTTTGTTCTGGTCGGGCAAGCTGGGCAAACGCCCAGGCTTTCATAGGCACATAAAAAGGGGAATGTCAACGATTCTACGGCCACAAAGTTCGCATCAAAAGACCCTTTGTCTGGGCAATTTTAGAATACGCGAAAGTACCGGTATACTTTCATATTTATACTTGTGCATATGGGTTTCAGGGAAAACAGCAAAATCGGCCCTATCTCCCTGCATAAACACTCAGTAAAATTCGCTGGACTGAGAGTTTAGCGTACTACTGGGCATTATCTGTCCGATCCCAAGTCGGGCCCAAAGAATGCAACATGCAGCTTGACGATACACATGTGGTAACTCTAGTTAGCTCAAGTCAGAATCTTGAAGTTGCTATTACATATGGCTGCAATGCCTGCTTCATTTGCTTATTCTAGGTCTCTACCCATGATACAATTATTCCATGCTTGTATGAGCGTCTCGATTGAGATACTTTGCTGTTTAGTATTTCACCAAAGATGCAACCCGGCTGGGGATGCATAATCTAGAAAGTCAAAGTTTTTACCGGACATGTTAGATCCGCGGTCAAGCAATCACAAACACGGTCGTGCTTGGTTGTCCTTTGACAAAGCGGAGAGTTCCTTGTCCCACACACAGATTGCCGGCTTCCACAGCAACAGGTATAGTACCCATTATGGTACTCCGTAGAGAACAGGGGAATCTACCGAGTGAAACCCAAGATGCTGGTTTCCCATTGTGTTCGGTTTCCCATCCAACAAGTTATAGCACGTAAGAGTGTCCATTGTGCCATAGCAATCTGAGCCAATATCGTTCTGGTACGTAACAAAAGGACAGCTGGTTGGTGGCTTTGGTTTACAATGCCTGGTATGATACTCTCCTGGCAACGACTGCTCAAGGATGGGATCGTTATCCTGATAGCATTGTGTCCCATCAGAGCATATCTCGGTGTGATTGTCACACCATTCGACGCATCGCTTCTGCGGTTTTGGCATTCCATAGAACTGTTTCTTGGAATTCCATTTGATCTCACAAGCCTCGACATTCTGACAGGATAGCTTCCCTCCCCTTCCGCAGTCCGCGTGTACCTGGCATGGACGCCCCTTCCATATACTCATCCGTCCAGTGCCGTCTAGGACAAAGTCGGATTCGTCTTGTATAATCGAGGGATGTCCGTCTGATTGTGAGTCCGCCAGATTAGATAGAATACTGCTCGCATTGTAAGGGCTGCCTGGCACTGAAGGGTGAGTCGGCTGTGTATGATCCGTCCTTGAACCTATAGCACAAAGCGCGGGATTCTGCCATATTGCGTCTGCAGCATCCTTCCAAAGATTGGTGTAGTTGTACCAGGTTTCGGGAATGAAGAATATTCTGCAGTCCACGGCCTCGTAGAGAAATTGTAACTCTCCATCTTGTATAGGGCGACTGAAGCGTTGTATATTCCACCTACAGTTCTGGACTCTTCTCTTATTTGCAATGTATGTAGTTTCAGTGCTTAGAATTGTCTCCCTGTTACAATAGAAACTGATTTTACTTTGAAAATCTCAACGCCCCCTTACCGATCCTTTTCTGTACGATTCAAACGAACTGTTCCATATTGCTTGCAACAGCACAGTCAAAGGATTTGGTAAGATATAGTCCTCTTTCCCAATTAACTAGTGTAGTAGTTATTTGTCCCTATCCTTTTTTTTTTTGCTGGCCGATTTATCTTGTGATGCGCTTTTGAGGCGTTGTTGATCAAACATGACCTGCTAGGCAAGCAATACTATATAGCTCTATTGCAGCAGTAAACAAATAAGTAAAGATCATTAACAAGAGTATGAAACATTATCCGCCGCGAGGGGAGTATGTCAGGCCAGCACAGATTTCAACGGAATGGAGAGACGAATTGTACATAAATCATACCCAGAGGCCAAAGTCTCCATCAAAAATGATTCTCACTAGTGCGTCAAGTTTCTAAAGTGTATGCATGAGCTTTCCGCCACGAGCATCTTAGTTCTTCGTCGTCGCTGTCCTTCAAGATGCGAGAAGGGGTTGTTCAGCTACGAGAGGCGGAGAGAAGTATCTTGTTCCTCCAAACAGCCAACGACCTATCAATTACAAGATATGTTGCATCACAGCAGAACGTCATATCACACTGGGCCATAGGGAACTTGAAGATTTACTGAGTTTTCAATTACCACAGTAGAGCTTCTCGTGGAAGGCCTTGGGAATATGGCTCACATGGAGATTGATCCGGGAAGCCGACATTACTTTTACCGCTTCACTGACCGCCTTGGTTTCTTCCTTTGTTTACTCCGAGCACCCGACTGAAAGTAAGTTCTACGGATATGCGGTAATACCACAGGCGCAGGAGCAATCCAAAGACCAAATATAATATGGGTTCTTTATTGACAAGCTTACACAAAAGTCCTCTATAACTATTATGGTACAGCCATTACCAGTAAGCCCCGTGGTTGGGCAAACATTTACCATCAACAACGGTCTGCAAACTCCCATAATCTGTGGTCTTAATCTTCCCGTTCTGTTCAGCATCAAAATCAGGAAACCTTTAATTTTCCACAGAACAATAGCCAGTATACTGCTTTTTGAATAGAGTTAATGAAGTGCTTATGAGAGGAGCCTGCAAACCTTCCACGCCCTGGAAGACTACCGCATTCAGGATACTGAGAAATCCCGCCCGGGCGACAGCCAAGACATTCACCTTCCAAATAACGGGTACTAGCAAGGGTTTACTGTTTTAGGAAGTAGGATAATTATCGGTCACGTGCCCTAGTCTGGTTTTCCAGTACTGATAAAGCAGGATGTGATAGTGAAAGAAAGAAAAAAAAAAAAAAAAAAGAAGAAGAAGAAGAAGAAGAAGAAAGGAAAAGAAAGGAAAAGAAATACCTTCCCCCCGGGCCGGAGAGCCGGCAACCTTTTGGTTGCATAGAAGTTTCCAGCACAGCCATATCTAACTAGACCATCGGGGGTCTACAGGTTGAAATTACTTAGCTCTTTAATGTACTGTACTATAACCAAAATCACCTGATAGCGAGAGACATTTTCATCCATCGGGGTTGTTTTCTGATAAGCTTGGCGATAAGCGATAAGAGTCGTGGTATGGATCTCAACATCCACCAACATATCAGCTATAACCGTGGAGTTTTACGTCTGACGTGGGTTTTTGATGCTCGTTACTGGCTCTAGATATTACTATTATTGACTTTAGTAGTTGATGGGCGGTACTAGGTCTGTGGTCTGTTTATGGGGGGTTCCATCGCATTGTAGGTGAAACAATAACTTCAAGATATATATTTGGTTGAAAGGTATAGCAGGCGCAGTGAGATTGAGTCGGACTATCACGAAAGTCAGCCTACCCAAGCTGGACAAACATCATATATACAGGCATAGCGCATACCCAAAAATAAATGCTTATTCTGCACAAGCGAACATTACGATTAAAATGGAACCCTCATAATCTGATGACGATTATAGTATTTACGGCAAACGCTGGCGCCATTCGTATATGTTCTCCATACATGTTACACATTGTTAACCAAGAACATACTATTTATCAAATGAGCATATGAAGACAGAAGCTATTTTTCATTCAAACTTATATGACCATGTCAACTACAGCTGAAATCTAAGTGCTCTGTAGTCCATATCGGCATGCCGAGACTCGGCCCGATGGAATCTGGAGGCCATCAAGACACCCAACATCGCATAAACCGCCACGAGGCAGAAGAGGTCTTATGCCGAGAACATAACCAGGTGAAATTGAGCATCTCTTCCGAGCGACTAAGTCAACCAATCGCCATTCTCAGTCCGAATCGATGCCGTAACAGCAAGAAGAACCGAACACCACCATGAACAAGTGGAGCCTTGAAAAAACTCTTCATCACTCTTCATTGGCTAACTGGGGACAAGCGCGCCGGCAAACAAGCCAAACACACATGACCTCGCTTCCCACTAGCGCCCGCACTAGCGCCAGTCATCTAACATAAATACCGCCGAAGTCTCATTCATTTCGAAAATTAAGCGACTCTACGTAAGTTCCTCCCCTCCCTACATTTGGGAATCCCAGAACAAAACAATGAGCCAAACAAAGAATGATTGCTAACTTTCTTGCCTACAGTTCAAAGAATCACTTTAGAGTAGACGTCCCACCTCTGAACTCTTCTAAAGAGCTACAGAATCTCCACCCTTGCTGATGACTTCTATATCCTCAATGCCCTAAAGTGAAGCCGTGTTTACTTCCGCCTCGACGCTTGGTATCTGCGAACGACTCGCTTCGGTGAGCTTGTTCGAGTGCCTCTCGTCCAGGGAGTGGTGATGATCTTTACCTTGTCTCGATGTCTTGACTTCGGTCGGTCGGACTTGGTGGGTGTTGAGGAAGTCTGAAAGGTGTTTAGTTTCCCTTCTCTTTTTTCACTTTAATGTTGGTGATTATGTGATCGAAACCTGGAGTTTGGTTATGATACCTATTTTTATTCGAATGAAATTATTATATGCTTTTTAATCTCTTGTTTACTGTAAAATGATCCACCTAGACCACGCACTCGCCACGGCTCTAGACTCACGTAGTGATGGACTTTGCTCGCAAAACTCTTGACGACCAGCGTTTGCGCAGACTACATGTCCCCATAGGTAGGATACCTCACGTCGCTGCCTGACTTGTGACCTCTAATTCTCAGGTCTATCGTAATGTATCATTATTCCTCTAAAGGGTATCTATCTTATGGTTCTTACAGCATGACAATTCATGAATATCATTTAGCCTCCTTGGAAGTCCCCTCAGGCGCATTCGCATTGGCGTTACCTCCGCCACTTGCCTTACCACCACCACCACCGCCTTTCTTCGATCGTCCGCCGCGTCCACGCGATGATCCCGAGCCACCCTCATTTGATTTACCCCCACGACCACCATTGGCATTGGTGTTGTTATTGTTGCCACCAGCGTTGGTAGGCTGAGGCTCATTGCGGTTCTTGCCTCGGCCCTTCTCTCCACCAGGGTTAATCTTGCGTTCCAGCACCACAACTTGGCTTTGGGCGACCGATACAGGGCTGGCGGCGATCGCCTTTTGTAGTCCGTCTGGCTCTGCGAAATCAATATATCCAAAGCCCTTCTTCTTATCAATCTCTACCTTCACGACCTTGCCGAATGTCTTAAATGCCGCTTCTAACAATGGCTCCGTCACCCCCTGCGAGGGATTGGCATGCTTGAGGAAAGCTTGCGTCGCTGTAGAGGCTGCGGACGGTGCCTGTTTCCCTTTCGATTTCGAAGATTTACCCGAGGTGGGCGGAGTGCTGGCGGGAGGTGTGTTCGCTTCGGACTGGGATGTCGGCTCATTGGGCTGTGGCACGTTTCCCTTGACCTTTGCGTTCTGTGATGAGGCGCCTCTCGATGTTTTCGGGGGGGTCTCCTTCTTGCCCGATTCGGCACTCGTCGGCTCAGTTTTGGATGTATCCGTCTCCGCCGAACCGCCCTTGCCACCCTTGCGACGACCGCCAGATGGTGCCAGGCCCAAGTCTCGCTGGAGAATCTTGGCTGCGGCCGCAACGCTTCCCCGTTCCCGTCTGCGCTCCGTGGTTGGGGTAGACTGACCGGTGTCCTTGGGCGAGTTCTGTGCTGCGGCCCTCGTGGCTTGTTTGGCGACATTGGCAGCCTGTTTGTTCGCTGCTCTCACAGCTTCCTTGGTGGCTTTATCCGCCTTGGATTTCTTTTCATTTTTCTCCGGGGCCTGCGCCGTTTCCCTATCGGGCCGCTGGAGTAGTTTCTTTGCTTGAACCTTTTCCGCCTTGGTCTCCTTATCGGCTTTCGCGTGCTTCGAGGATTTGTTGGAACTATCCTTCGCTTTGTTCGCTTTCTTCTCTTTGATATATTGCACCAAAGGTGTGGTGGTCACGGTCTCCTTCTTCTCCTTCTTATCCTCAGCATCAGTGGCATTCTCGACCGTAGGCGGTTTGGTGATCGGTTGTGTAAGACTTTCGAGGAAGGCAATGAAATCGGGGTCCTGGTCAATAGTCCCTTGGCGAGCATCTTTCCGTACACGGCTCCCGGGGATTTTCGCAAACGGTGCATATTCCACGGAGGGGGGCCCCAACAGAATGGGATCGTTGAAGGTGTTTCGAGCGTCTGTGAAAGATACCTGACGAACCTTATTCGAGAATGGGATGATATGGTCGCTGGACACAACGTGAACGTAGGCACGCGAGGGTCGTGACGGCTTCGCTGGGCTGTTTCCCGAATTAGCACTCGACAATCTACATAGCACGTAGAATTAGCCGGGTACTCACTCCTTAGAAATCTTGCCCGGCTTATATTGGAACCAATCAATCTTTCCCGCTCCAATTTTCCATTCAGGGCCTATAGCAGTCTCAAACTCTGCCTGTGTTAATCCCGGAGGTAGTCTCCGCACTAGGAGCTTGAGCCGTGGTGCAGCTGGTTTGGGTGCTTTCTTAGGCGTGGGGCCGGCGGCGGCAGCGTTGGCGGCGTTCTTCTGTGTCGCTGCGATAGGGATTTGAAGAACACCTCCCGTTGATTTCCCAGCTGCAGTCTGCGTCATGGCGTAGAGCGTTTCAGAGAGATCTACACTCCGAAAGGAGTGGGATTGCGGGGGAGGGGTTCTCGAAAATGGATGGAAGACCGAGTTGGCGAAACGGGACTGTGAAAGATTTGAGAGAGAGGTAAGAGGAATGGAACCTCCAAGATGGGAGTCGATACTGAGGCTCCGGTGAAGCCGATAAGTGACAGAATGGATTGGGGAAAGAGAGGGAAGAGCAAAAAAGCAACGATAAGTCGGTTACGGGACACCAGAGGGGCCAATCACGCGACCTCGAGATACCCAACAACCACGTGTGGGGAAAAAGCGTCACTTGATCTTGATTAATGATTCAAATCCAACCTTTGCGACGTTCTAGATATTCGCCCCCCGTGCAAATAGACGATCCTTGCTCAATAATTCCTTTGCTCTCTTTTTGATCGTCCTGTCCCTGACATCTATCCTCCTATCGAAGTACCCCTCAATTCCCCCCCCTTTACTCGGCGCTTTCGTCCACTTTCACTATGGTCGATAGTAAAGTCCCGCAGCCAGGACCGGCCAAATTAAAGCGCAATGCCGGTCCCGATGAATGGTTAGAGGCTGCGAAAGATTGCAAGTATCTCTCAGAGCAGCATATGAAACAACTGTGTGAGATTGTGAAGGAGTACATGATGGAAGGTAAGCAACCTCCGTTGAATGAGATCCGTGCTTGTTCCTCCGAGGCTCACTTGTGTGCGCGCGCTTAGAATCGAACGTACAACCGGTATCGACGCCCGTCACAGTCTGCGGAGATATCCATGGCCAATTCTATGATCTACTGGAGCTGTTCCGCGTGTCGGGCGGCATGCCAGACGAGTCTATGGTCGAACCCCCGAAAACATCACCGCCTGTGATCACCTCAGCTGATATCGAGCCTCCCTCGGAAATCACGGACCCCAAGCTGCGGAAAAAGTTGAGAAACTCTGGATCTCATTCGGAAGGCGGCGACGAAACAAGCTCACAGAGAGAACGCTCTTCAAGTGCCGGAACGAACGAGGTGACGCTGAACCGGAATTTCGTCTTTTTGGGAGATTATGTCGACCGAGGATACTTTAGTCTGGAGACTTTGACATTATTACTATGCTTGAAGGCCAAGTCAGCCATACTCATGCCCGGTCTTTTGTGGAACTGGTACTAACGAATCCTTCGGTAGGTATCCGGATCGAGTAACGCTGGTGCGCGGGAATCACGAGTCCCGACAGATCACGCAAGTCTACGGCTTCTACGAAGAGTGTTTTCAGAAGTACGGCAATGCATCGGTCTGGAAAGCCTGTTGTCAGGTCTTTGACTTCATGACACTTGGGGCCATCATTGATGGCAGGGTGCTCTGTGTACATGGTGGCCTGAGCCCGGAAATCAGGACCTTGGACCAAGTTCGTGTAGTGGCAAGAGCTCAAGAGATTCCGCATGAGGGTGCTTTCTGCGACCTGGTCTGGTCCGACCCCGATGATGTAGAGACATGGGCAGTCAGCCCAAGAGGCGCTGGTACGTCATTTTCAATTCGTGAGACGCTGGTCCTTTGACTTATGCATATCTAGGTTGGCTATTTGGGGATAAGGTAGCAGATGAGTTCTGTCACGTCAATGATCTGACACTAATCGCCCGTGCGCACCAATTGGTGAATGAGGGATACAAGTACCACTTTGCGAACCAAAACGTGGTGACGGTGTGGAGTGCGCCTAACTACTGCTACCGATGTGGCAACCTGGCATCGGTCTGTGAGATTGGTGAGGATCTCAAACCGACATTCAAGCTATTTAGTGCGGTCAGCGATGACCAACGGCATGTGCCCACATCGCGGCCAGGCCGTAGCGAGTACTTCCTGTAAATTATTGCATGACTTGATTTTCGTTTAACAGTTTTCTTTTTGGGCATACGGAAGGGCATACTGTGATATGGTGAATATTCGATTCACACCCGGCGCTGGCGTTCGGAGATACCGTTCATGTGATATGCTCTGCAGAGAGTGACGGATGATAGGCACGTTATATAACGATATTAGAGCACAATTAACGATGGTCATGCTTGGAAGCTAGGACGCATATTGGATGTTTTGTCAAATGAAGTCTCATGAGGTATGAACTCGGCAAGTGGTGATGGTGATTAAGGGCTACGCCTACCGGGAAACCATCCTACAGTAAGCGAAACCGGCCAATTTGTTCGTATTCTTATTCCCTAGACATGTCCTCCATATGATGGGCTGATATGTATCTTTCTCCACAGCCGGGGCGGATATGGTGGAGGAAGACCCTGACCCGAGGGGCCGTGATGATTTGCCGTGCGGATGCCGACCCCGGAATGCATCCCGTGGATACCCCGGGATGCATTCCGGAGCCCCGAACTTAAGAATCAGATGACTGCACATGCCAGACAAACGGAAAGCTTCACAATTCTTTGGATTATTGCCCTTATTTCTTACTATAAAGCGCCGAAAGGGTACGCGCATATTCGCCAAGGCAGTCATGGTCGAGAAAGTTGACGTCCTTATCTGCGGAAGTGGATCCGCAGGCCTCTGCGCTGCTACATGGCTCGCCCGCTGTGGGATCCGCTGTAAGGTGCTTGAACGCCGCGACGGACCTATGACAATGGGGCAGGCTGATGGCGTTCAGTGCCGTACGGTCGAAATCTTTGAGAGCTTCGGAATTGGCGAAGAGTTGCTACGCGAGTCCTACCATGTCCTGGAGGTCGTCTTCTGGGCTGCTGATGGTTCCGGCGATATCAAACGTACTGGCCGAACGGCAGATACACAGCCAGGGCTATCACATCAGCCCCATGTGATTTTGAACCAGGCCCGTATTAACGGGTTATTCATCGAGTCTATGCAGCGGTTCAATAACCAGATCATTGATTACGGGTTTGACATCAAGAACATTGAGGTTGATAGTTCTCTCGTCAATGATCACCAGTCGTATCCGGTGAAGGTGACGGCTGAGAAGGAAGGGAGAACTGAGGTCTTCGAGGCGAAATATGCTCTTGTATGTTCAACCCATTTCTGAAAAGTGTCGTCGTCTTTCGTGTTCTAACGGTCTTTGCTATAGGCGTGTGATGGAGCACACAGTACTGTCCGTCGCGCACTGGGTTATAAAATGGTCGGTGATAGCAGCGACGCAGTCTGGGGTGTCATGGATATGGTACCCCGGACGGACTTCCCAGATATCCGGAAGAAAACCACCATTCGCTCCAAGGCGGGTAACTTATTGATCATTCCTCGTGAAGGCGATGCCCGCAATTTAACCCGGTTTTACATTGAGCTTCCGGCAGGGACCAAAGCCAAAGAGGTCAAGCTGGAGGATCTACAACAATCTGCTAAGGCTATCCTCAGTCAGTACAGAATTGAGTTCGCCGAGACGGTGTGGTGGTCTGCCTACGCTATTGGTCAGCGCCATGCGGACTTCTTCCACAGGGATTACCGCGTCTTCCTGGCGGGTGATGCCTGTCATACCCATTCCCCCAAGGCCGGTCAGGGCATGAATGTCAGTTTGCAGGATGGATATAATATCGGCTGGAAGCTGGCCACTGTTCTGAAAGGATTAGCGCCCCCATCCTTGCTAGAGACGTATGTCCTTGAGCGACAGAAGGTAGCTATTGACCTGATCAATTTCGACCGATATTTCTCGAAGCTTTTCTCGTCTGGTGGCCAGACATCCCCTGCCGAATTCCAGGAAGGATTCATCAAATCTGGGAAATATACTGCTGGCTTGACGGCCAAATACGATAGTTCTGCGATCACGTTTCACACCGAGGGATCAGAACAACTTTCTACTAATATTGTGACTGGCATGAGGTTACCAAGTTCTCAAGTGGTGCGGTACTGTGACTCAAAGCCCATGCAATTGATGACAGCCTTGAAGTCAGATGGTCGCTGGCGAGTCATGGCCTTTGTGGGCGACATTAGCAGACCTGAGAATAAGTCCAAGTTGAACGCAGTAAGTTTGGTAGTATTCTATTCACCTCCCGTGCTCTCGCTGATATATCCAGCTTGGAAACTACCTAAGCTCAGATGACAGCCCATTGCACCGCTTCTGCCAGAAGGATGCCGACATGGACAGCGTGATTGAGCCTATCCTAGTCGGCTATGGGAAGCGACACGGCATCGAACTGGAAGAAATTCCAGAGGCTTTCCACCCAATCGCCGGAAAGAATCAAATCAAAGGTAAGGAATCCCTATCCCCTTAAGCAAGTGGCATAAGACTCACTTAATGAATAGATCTGCACAAAATCTACTTCGACGACGAAAGTTACAACAAAGGTCACGGCCATGTATACGAGTACCTCGGTATCAGCCCCGAGAAAGGTGCAATTGTGATTGTCAGACCAGATCAATGTAGGCTTCCCCTCCCCCCCAACAATTCTATATTTTGGACGAGATTAATTGACTCTCTCAGATGTCTCGGCCGTGATTGGACTCGACGATTACCGGCAAATAGGCCGATTCTTTGAAGGGTTCTTGATCCCCCAAGGTGAACACGCCTCACCGGAAAGCAAATTATAAGGTGTTACTCGCATTGGATGTACATACTATGTGAAGTAAAGCCCATTTAGATATGACGATCATGAATAATAAAGAGCCTTCTATATGCCTAAGCACATGTATCCCACTCCCATTAATTCACCCACCATAAGAACAGTAAGGCAAGACCTCCTGATACACCATCCTCTCAGATCCAGTAACCCCCTCTCCGGAAGGGTCTCTCTTCAACAAAAGTCTTTCGACTTGGGCATTCCCAAGCCCCAAACAACTCGCTCGCCGTCTCCGAGACTCGATCAATCGCGCACCGCCCTGACTACTGACATCCCCCGCCGGAAATTCATCCTTGTAATTCTGACTTGTGAGGAAGCAAGCCTGCATAAACGCTCCCACAATAAATAACAATACAATCAACCGTCGATGCTGTAGATCCTGCTCCAAACCGGATCTACCTTGTGCTGGGATCTGGGAATCATGTCTCGGGTTGGAATCCGTCCATCCGATATCGTGGTTCTCGTATGGCGATATTGCCTGTTGCAAGCAATCCAGTCGGACTTCTTTGGGAAAAGATGAGTGGGTAGTGTACCGTTTGTTTCGTTGATGTTGGCGTCTACGGTCATATCGTGCTCGGTTGTAAAGCTCTTCTCGCAGGTCTAGGATGGGATACGGAGCTGTATTAAGTGTTGAGGATAGCCCGGGTTGACCGTTCATGAGAATAGATGCCTTTCCTGGGATTGTACTGTAGGTAATGGAGCTTGAGATGCGGTGAATATGCGAATAGGGTGTAGTGTAGCCCGTGTGAGTCGGGGGGTTCTTTATAGGGAAGACTGTATATGGCCAGCACGGAGTCTTTTTGAGATACATTGTAGTGGATGGAATACTTGGTTTTACGTATGACAATATGGGTATTTGCGGGGGATATAAAACTAACTTCACTACGAAATGGTGCAGAGTATCGTGGCTATAGCCATGCGGGTCCTGGGCCTGGGGTGGGACAAGATAGAGGAGGGGAGAGGTTTGTCTGTGTATGCATCATGTTGATCAGAGAAGATTACGATATAGTTGGCATGTGAAACTGAGTGAGTTTTGGGAATCCTGGAGGACCGCATGGTCATCATGTTATGGAGACCTGGGTGGTAGAGTACAAAGTTGTCTGCATCATCCTATAAGAGAGCGGAGAGAAAGTTGAAATTATTTAAATGCCCAAAAATAGAAAATAGAATTGCTATCTGTATAAGGAAGTAAAGTAGAGCTACTACTGTACTCATATCACCCTTGCATGAAACTGAGAAGGTTTGAGAAGATTATTCATATTGCATTTCTATATGCGGCTTTAAGGGGCTTATAGGGTGCTAACCCTACATACCATGTATTTCATATTCACGTATTATTTGACTCAGTTTGATTAGTTGTATCCTATGTCTGAGTTATGCACAGATATGGCTGAGGCATGTCCCTGATTACTAGTATAGTGTTGACATTGCTTTTTTCATATACACACGTACTCGGGAGAAAATTGATTAACGAAACTGAAATGAAGGGAGAATAAAATAAGGTCTAAATGTCATGCTATCATCCATCGTGGCATGATCCATCCTGCCAACCCGGTGATTGCTGAGTAAATCTGCCCATAGTGAGTTCGCCCACGATGATGCCCGCCAGTACTGCGCAAAAGATGCCTATGTTGAAAGTCATGACTGCTAGCATTCTGAGAATATTGATTAGTTTTATAATAACTTTACATCAATGGGACCTCACTCACAAGACATAGCCCAGCAGCGCACGGATGCCCTCTAGTAGTGATCGTCCACCGTCTTGCTGCCAACTCCATGGGCCACTTGGGGTCCATTTCCCAAAGAGTATCTTGAACCACCTCCGGACGCGTGACGGTCTTGCACTGCTGGGTACTAACTCGCTCCGCTCATCTTCATGCAACGGTGGAGGAGACGGAGGCGGTGGTGATGGTCTTTCGAATGGATCGTTCACGTTGACTTGTATGTACCGCGGAAGAGGGCTCACACGATCCTTGGGGATCTTTCTGTATCGATGCGCTGCGGGTGGCTGTCCCAAAATTGGTACGGGAAGTCCAGACGCGCGGGTTGAGTTTATCTTATTTTCTAGTTGGAACTTGAGTGCTCCAAGGAAGCGGTTGAACCAGGCAAGCAGGAACAAGAATGCCAAGGTGAGGAGATACGTGGTCATAGAATTGGTTGTCCAGATGCTGAAGAATAAAGTTACTTTCGTTCCTGATGTGAAGATGGCGGGCATCGACATGTCATGATGGCTGTGACCATGGTCATGGCCACCTGTCTCATTTTGCATTATCACATCCATAGATCAGTGGCCATAGGAAAAGAAATGTATAACATTCGGATTTCTGGAAGAGCTGGCGGAGGTCCAATTTATATTATAGTGAACTGGGCTGTTGGGCCTCTCATATGTCTCCTAGGGCTCATTTAGTGTTATATGGTTTGATTGGCAAATTGCATAAACACCACATGAGCTGGGATGAGCTGAGAATTCTGACTGGATCCTAACTTCCTTATTGTACATGTGGCGTTTCCCCCTTGTTTCTATGTCCTTTC